GGATTCTCATGATTTCCAAGTAGAAACAGTATCCGGACAATTATATTTCGGACAAGTAATTAACATTTTACCAGATCAATTTGGACAACTAGTTGTATTTAACACCTTTAATTAATTATTCAAGTGTCCCCTAGAAATTTCTCGTACTATAGAGAGCAGAAACGATTTACTTCCTATATGCTTGTTGTTGTTGTGGAGATATCCCATCCGTGCCGCCAGACCCTCAGGGCTGACACTTCTAGTTCCACCACAAGTGATTTTAATAAGTTTTCAATAACGTGGTCTTCATTTTATTCATGTCAACACTAGAAGTCTATTAACCGAAAACTTACATGAAATTAATTCTGTAGGTCCCCGTAGATCTAGAGCCGCATGCCATTTGTGTTTTTCCGAAACCTGGTTAGATGATCAGTTCCAGGATTCTGAAGTTAACCTCGACAACTATTGTATTCAGCAAGGGATCGAAACAAACAAGGGGGTGGCGCTTTTGGTATTTATATCAGGAAGGATTTATTACAACACACGACGAGGATCTCAAGGCATGAAGAATTAGAAGCTACAAGGATTGATTATACTTTTACCAAAATCAAAACCTATCTTATGTGGTGTTATTTATAGACCTCCTGTGCAACTAAACTTTTATACAATTTTAGACTCTTTATGCTCGTCAAGTAGTGACTTTTTACAATGTGAATCTATAATTTTAGGAGATTTTAATGGTTAAGTATGTGATATTTACATAAAAGTAAGAAATATTACATATTTAACGATTAACGCAAATAAAAGCATATGTCGTGCCTTGAGGGTACCTATGTGTTAAAAAATGAGAGGGTACCTGTGATATAAAAATTCAAATGAAGAGAGGGTAGCCCGTGCCGCTACAAAACATGATGAAAGTAGGGTGTTTATTTATGAATTTTTATTTTATTGTTTGACAATATACTGGCCATTTGTCCGAAGATGATATGTAAATAAACATAATTAAATCATGTATGATGCATCTATAATAAAGCCACAGGTTCATTGGCAAGCCTGAAAAGTATGTTCGTGGGTGATGGACGAGGCAAGACATGTTGATATTTGTGTAGCTTATTGTGAAAGTTGCAAGTACATGAAAAAACGGGCAAATACAAATCAGAGGGCCACATAAATTAAAAACATTCTAGTGTCCGTGGTATACATGTTTTCTAAGTGTCATAGACCTCCTTTCCTTATTAAATGGAATTTTTACTGGATTGTTTAATCACATCGCTGGTTTGTTTTTTAGCAGAGAATGACCTGTGCATTGTGCAAATAGGGGGTACCAGGTTTCAGCAGATTTTCGCAAGAGAGGGTACCCGAATATGGATATGCACCGTGTTCACGTTTTATCAGAGATGGATCCCCAGTTATTGCTAGTCCATTAGCTCATATCATGAGTTTATCCCTTATCCAAGGTCAAGTCCCTGATGATCTTAAATCTGCAAGAGTTGTTCCCCTCTTTAAAAGAACGACAAATTGTCTGTTGGTAATTACCGGCCAGTGTCCATTTTAATGTTGTATCTAAAATCCTTGAAAAGGTGTTTTATGACCAGGTTGAAGCTTATTTTAAGGATAAAGATATGCTGTATAAATATCAATCAGGTTTCAGGAGTGGTTTCGCTTCTTCACCTTACAGACTTTATCAGGTATGAAAACGATAAAGGTAATGTTGTTGGTATGGTGCTGCTGGATTTGCAGAAAGCGTTTGACACAGTCGACCATTCCATTCTTTTAATGAAACTGCAAGCATCAGGTCTTAGTATTGACAAACTAAATTGGTTCAAATCATATTTATCAGATAGACAGCAGCTTGTAGATGTCTCTGGTACGTTTTCTTCCAATTCCAAAATAACTGATGTGTGGTTCTCAGGGCTCAATCCTTGGACCCCTTCTCTTTTAATTTATGTAAATGACATGTCACTGTGGTCAAAAATAAATTGCTTTTGTATTTGCTGATGATTGGTATCTCTTGTATCTGGTAAAAAGTTTATCTGTTGATGAAAAGGCATTGACAGATGATATGGAATTGGTCAGCCAATGGTTAGTGGACAATAAGTTGTCATTGCACTTGGGAAAAACCGAGTCAATTTTATTTGGGTCCAGGCAAAAGCTTAGGTCACAATCTAACCTGCATATAACCTGTTCTGGTACATCCCTTGATTAATTATGAATACTAACACTTAAGGACACAATAAATAAAAAATATCTCGAAATATCATAATATTATCTGTAAATTAATACTAAAAACAGATACCATCCTATCAATAAGGGTATACTTACCTGAAACAATAACAAAAATACCGGTATTGACAAATACTTTGATAAGTTTATACTTTCTATATCATTTTCTGAAATCATTAATGCAATTAAACTCTTTTCCAAAAAAACGTTATCCTAGGCTTGTAGTTAATTTATTTGTGTACATTAGATTTTTTTGCACCGGTGCATCATGTTGGTGTTTATTATATTTTATATTATATTTTTTTTTACAAAACGTAATTGTTTTTTTTAATCATTTTGTCAATCTAATAGTATATGACATTCGGTTTAAATCTAAGGAAGCAATTCAACATCGGAGTGCAAGTGAAATGTCTCTTTATGAGAGAAGAAAACCTTCCTTCTTTTTCTTTACTAAAACATACATGAATATTTTTTCGTGAGAACGGTCTGACTGCAGGTTTTGTGATTTGCTGTGTAATCTACTTGTGCCATAAACCCTAGATTTCTTTAATTATAAAGTGTTCAAAAAAAGAAAAGTTACACAAGTTAATCCCAATAAATAAATGCTAAATTAAACGTTTTTCACGCGGATAGTGAGTGAGTGATAATCAAAAGCATGAATTTTAACGTTGTCAATGTGTTTCACTTGACGGAAATTATATACATACAGTTTAACAATTCAGAGCATATTTACCTTATGCATTATTGCTCAGGTGTTGAGCAATGCCCTGTCCGTTTTTGTTTGGGGTCCGTCTGGGCTCCTTGCCACTGGTTCTTGATGTCGTGTGGGTGCTACGTTCATTGAACGCCGCTTTCCCTTGTTGATCTTGTTTATCATATTTTAAAAGTAAAAAAAAAGAGAAAACTTTTTTGCTTTCGCCATTACAATATAGGTCTAGCCAAAAGAGATGAGATGTTAATCAAGGAAAAGGATATATAAATCAGCATAATTATTACGAAATTGAATCTCAAATTACACATGGTCCTTTACCAAACAAAAAATATAATAAAAAGGTTTAACTATTATATAGACATAGTCATATTTTCAAATCTTAAGAAAATCTCATTAACAACAGTCTGAGAAAGTTAAGCTTAAACAATTTTTTTAAGATCTAACGACATGTAAAGTCCAATATAAGGTGACTTTAATAAGGAAAAACACATTTTTAGGACAGACCAAAAAGGCTTCGAACCAATAAACAGTGATGTAAAGAAAAAAAAAACAATCACAAATAATATACTAATACATCCTCGACCATATCAGACGACGTGTGCCGAAAACGGTGCTAAAACCTTTTGTTTGTCATATATTAATTAAAACCAATATTTGTAAAACAGATTGCTAATCAAGAGATGCAACACTGCTGAAAATTGAATTGTGAAATGTATGACAGCTTAAGTCTGTGGCAGCCAAACGATTTTTTAGATTATTAACAAAATATGTTACTGAATGGTTACTGAATGGTTTGTATTATACAAACATTTTACACAAGTATAAAGTATGAAAATTACAAAGATTACTTCGTCGACAAAGATTTGCGAATTTACATCGCATACAAATTTTACAAAGGTTATTTCACAGACAAAAATGTTGGGTATTATATCGCATAACAATTTCCCCTCCTGTAAATTATCCCTATAAAGAATTAATTGAAATATTTATAATGTGGTAAGCAATACATATTCAATGGAAATAATCCTGTAAATCGCATAAGCATATACGTTATACATTTGCTTATATAAATGTTAACACACACAATAAAAACAAAAAAAAAAAACAATCATATTTACAGATAACATTTAACGCAGCGATGAGTTTCTCATAATATACATATTACTGATCTTTCATAAAATGTTTACAAATTTGAAATTTTATGAAAAGAAGTCACATATTGAAGAATGTTAAACACAGTATAAAAGTATACATGTATATCATATTAACGCACAATTATTAATAATATAGTACATTGTGTACTCTACTCAAAGTTGCAATGCTGTAAAATTGCAAAGCAATAGGTTTTCAATAATATAATTAAAACTGTGGTATCAACAGATTTTGATCTTTAACAAAAAGATGCACTGAATCTGTAGTTTTCAGAATAGTTCTCTAATTTTTGTATTTCGGACAATTCACTTTTATGTTGTGGGAAAGGTGAAAAACCTGCTCATTCAGGATATTCTTTATCTTAAAATCAGCACAAGAGAACGTAATACATGGGTTACATAATCCTCTAACTTGAATACATAATTTTTTCTGTTGAGCACTTCTCTTTTAGTAGTTTGTACACAATGATGAGTTATGTAAATAAAAGGAAAATGAGTGCATGTTTTTCCATTGGTAGTAATTGGTTATAATTTGTGTACATCTGCTTTTTCATTGTACATTTTTCGATTATTGAAAAAGTAACTAAAATCATGGAAGGAATGGTAAATGTCAGTATGAAATGTTCTAGCCTCATGCCAAATTTCCAGAAAATAACTTTCTGGACTTTGGGTTGTTGATGCTCTCACAAAAGATGGTACTGGTGGATATGGATCTTTCCTAACCTTACAAATAATTACAAACGAGATGGAAAAGTGCTAACGACAAAACTATCTTCAGTGAACAAACTCAATCTTACAAAAAGAACCAGACACAAAGTTCATTTTCTTGTTTGCAAGACATCCAGATTGAAGCCAACATTCCATCAAGTCTAATTACGGTAAACGCTTCTACATTAATCAGTGCTGATACTGAAAATATCACTCACTTCACCAACATGGCTGGAACCCTTCGTTTAGTACCATTCAAGGGAGAATGTGGTAAAGATACAGATTTTCTTAGACGTTTCGACCAGTACTGTGCGTGTACGAATTTTAGGGGAGTGACAAGCTTTTTCTGAACCTGCTTTATATTTTGAAAAAAATTGCTAGACTCTATATTGAAAACCAGTCACCGTCTTCAACAACACTTTATGAATTGAAACTATTCAAAAGAAACCCTGTGTATCTAAACATTTTCAGTATGAAGCTGGAAATTTTGAAAATTTCTATCGCGATTAGAGGCAGAAACTTTCAAAACTGAAATAACTGAAGACCTACAAGTCCAGATGGCATTTAATGGTCTACATCATAGTGTAAGTTCTGCGATTTTAACTCATAGACCAAAGTTTTTGTCAGAAGTTAACAATCTTGCGAATCAATTAACAAATGTAAGACACACAGCACCAGTAGCTTCTTCAAGTAATTCCTTTACAAATTCAGTGTACATTTCAACAAAATCAGTTGCACAATTAACAACTGTTATGACAAAACAACAACAGCAACATCCTTTGTAGGAATTACAGTTCTCATCATGCACATCACCAACAGTACAACAACCTCAGTTCATTTAGGAAAGGGAAGCATGTTCACGTTTTGGAGGTATTTGCACTTCTTATTTATATTTAAGAGCAATATGTAGCATTTATAAAACTTGTAATTTAGGTGGTCTAAAAATCACTTCAAATATTAATGTAAGACTGGTCGCAATAATAATCAGGTAAATTTCTGTTACGGTTTTGCGCCTATCTGCAGGTGTGAGTCTATCAAACTAGTAGATGGGCGCAATGTTATAAATTGACTTTGATGTAATCGTGCTTCAAAGAATAACAGAAGGAAATATTTCGCTATAAACAATACCGATAACACTGAAGTTAAAGCCAAATAAAGCTAAAGAAGCTTAAGTTAAAGCCAATTTTTCTGTGGTGATACTAAGAAATAATGTTGTTGTTTCTGTCAATCACATCATCTGACACGGGTGATTAAGTGTCTTGTATTAGTTAATCATTCATTTACTCCCTGGTGACAATCCTCAGTATTTATTCAAGAGAACTTAGACCATATTGCAGAAATGCTTAAATGCCTTACAAAAGCTGGTCTGAAACTTTCACCAAATAAATGCTTATTAACTCAAGAGAAATTGCATTATTTAGGTCTTGTTATCAGTTACGCTGGCATAGAAGCAGGCTCTAGAAAATTTGAAAAAAAAAACAACAAAATTTAATTGCACCCATATTACTCAAAAAGGTGTTGTAAGCTAACATGGTCTGACAAATTAAATGCAGTATAAAAATTCATTTTAGGTAAATAAATTTGTTTGTTTTTTAATTATTAAAAACCCTTTACTTCGTCTGAAGATGAAGACTGTACGAAGCCTTACAAGCACTAAGATTGCACTTACAACAGCACCATTACTTGCTTTGCCTGACATGGAGAAACCTTTTACAGTGACATGCGATGCTTCTAGGTCCGGTTAAGGTTTTTGATTAAAGGATAATTGTATAGAATAGTAGAGCTTTACAGGCAGCTGAAAAAAAATCATACAAATAATAGGAATATTTGGCTATTGTTGAGGGAATTAAGGCGTATAAAGCATATTTGTCAACAACTGTTATGTAATTCACTTTTGTAACTTACCATATAGCATTAAAAACGCTTAATTCTTTGAATAACTTTATGAATGGTAGGATTTCGAGATGATATATTTTGCTTTGGCTGTAACAGATATGAATTCGTTTATCGCAAAGGGGAGAACTATAATGCAGATGCATTATCTCGTTACACCCATGAAACCGAAACCTCTAAAAGATCAGGAGAGACAGACACTGGCTATGAAGGACTGGTAAACAGTAAACACTCTTTTATGGCTTTGTAAGACAACAGTTCTTCAGAAAAATGAACACCTTTTAAAACACTTTGAAACGTGAAACGTTATCTTCCTAAACCGAAACATACAAGTTCTCATGCTAGCATTGTCCAGGCTAATTAAAAAGTTTGAGAGGGGTAAGTTTGGTGGAAGAAACTCCATCATCGTACTTTGTTTAGACTGAACATAGCGAATGACTTGAAGCAAATATTGAATATGACGGAGGAGCAAATGTCTGTTGGCTGAAGTCGATTCTTCACAGCAACAATCAGACAATACAGCTGGGGAGCCTTTGTTTGATCTAATTAAACTTTAAAAGCAGTGCTTGGACTTAAACTACATTTATGAATGTTTAGCTGAAAACAAAATACATGATCCAAAACGTAGAACGAAACAGATTATTTTCATCTACTTGATGGCATTTTAATTTATTACTTTCAAAACAGGGATAAGAAAAAACCTACTGATGAACGTTTCATTGTTTCTGTTCCGTCCATGAGTAATCGTTATAAAGTTATGCTAGCAATTTGAGCTCATATGTCAACTGTTAAGTTAGTCGAAATATGCCCGTAGATACACATACCTCAAATGAATCCTTTTATACATAGTGGCAGATTATGTTTATAAAACAATTTATAACTGAAAAAAACTTCACAAGCACAACATATCTATTCGACTGGTATCCTGATATTTTGTTACTGCTGCCATTGGCTCCAATCTATGCAAGCATTAAACACACTTTACTGTTGTCACATTACTTCGAAATTCGGAACACACAGCCTGTCAGAAATACAAAATCAGTTTAAATGCATAATAAGTACTGCTAATAATTTTAAAGCATTTTCGACAGATATGATTCTGACTGTCAGAGTTTAATGATGTAATGAAATGAGTTTCTTCACTGCAAATAAAGCTAGTTTTTTATATATCTTCTAATGTCACGCTTTGTTTTTTAAATAATCTGTTTTGAAATATTCGTATTTGATCTTGGAAAGATTTATTTAAACAATGAAAGGTTGAATGTCAAATACTGCACAATACTGCCAGTGCTCAGAAATGAGCGATGATACTCTTATACAAATCAACCGTAATATATTTAGCTCCTTCACTATTTCTCTTACTACATGTATAATTTATTCTAAAGTGATTGAAACAGTTTTCCTCGATTTTTGCACCAATCATTACATTGTAAATGGCAGTCGTCGAATTCATTGGAGTTAGGACAATATTTTTAAGTATATTTTGCATCGGAATTCAAATGGACAATCAAGTTTCACTGACACTAGAAAGAATTAAAATGACCATCAATAGAATTGTAATTGCCATTTTCTAAAACGTCATTTGCTTCGAAAAGTTTATAATTAAAACAAAATTGGTAAAAATGGAGCGGATTAACCTTTCCCCATATAACTTTGCAAAGTCAATCCATGGTCTTCTGATTTTGATTTTTTTATACAAATGATGTTTCCAATTTATTGATTTAATGCGATGTTTGTTTCCTCATATGACAGTAAATATTGAAATATGATTACTATGTTTACATAGCAATATAGACATAAAGATGCACACATTAACAAAGGGCATATTACAAATATTCTGTTACGGCCACATGGTCAAAGACAGCTTTCGCAAAATGTTTTCAGTTGTTGGAGATAAAATCATACTTTTTGTTATTAGTTAATTGTCTTAGTAAAGCTATTCTTTTAGTTCTTTCGTTGTCTTTTTTCCTTTGTCCTCTTTTATAAGTTAGAGTACATTCATACCTGGCTTTGCGTCTATAATTACTACGAACAGCCCAGTGATGTTTATTTTGTTGAATGGTGATGCCTTTGGAATTCTTTTCAACCACCAATATTCCGTTTCGAATACTATAACAATGTGGTAAAAATGCGAAATGTTTTAATTGCCATGAATACAGATTTTGCTTATATGGCCTATATTAATTATATGTTCGTCTGCATCAACCAGGTTTGGCTGTTTGTCCACCAACTCAGAATCTGATAATGTACACATTTTATCAGTGTTTTTTTTCAGCTTCGGGATCAAAGTATATATTATATTTCCATTCTTATCCCTTTTAGATAAACTGCTTCCAGGGATGCCGATATTCTATGAAAGAAACACAACAAAAATAAGAAAATAAAAAAAAAAGAAAAAAAAATCAAAACAAAAAAGATATTGTAAGTGATAATTAAATATTTTTAAACATCGTCCAATATATATTTTTTATTGATATCATAAATCATTTAGATTACTTACCGAAATATAATCTACGAATGATTAAATTTGAAGAAAAGTTTATCAGCGACATGTTATTGTACAAAAAACAGTACTGGAGCCGTATCGTTTAAATTTATGTTAGTTGGTTACGAGCCAAAACAAAATGTGTAACTTTCTATTGTTTACTTTGTAGTGTTCTTAAAGGAAACATTAAATCTTAGCGCTTTGATGTTTTGTAAAGATGTACCGCAATATCAGCTGAAGATGACTGTCCTGCTTTGTTTGAGGTGCTCTGGTGCTCTATAATTACAGGAATGAGTAGACGTTAACGATTCTACCAGACCTAAAACAAGAAATTATAAGAATTAAATATTTAAAAACAAATCCTAAGATGTCGAAATTATTATTTCAATTCCAGTCTGAAAATATATAATATTAACATAAAAATGACGAGAGAAACTAAAATCAATTTAATATAGCTGCACCGACATTTCCTCTAGATTTGGCATAGGTTGCACAAACTACAATTGATCAGTTTCAAATTTTTTATTGATAAAATCAATTAATAAATGCCATTTATTTTATGCTTTTCAGTGGATTACTGATTTATCCGTGAAAATTATATTTGGTAATTTCACAGTGAAAATTATCAAAATATAATTTCACTCTTTTTAATGACGAAACTACTTTTTTAAGACTTTTCCCATGTGGTACCTCAATTTTATTTTTGCTGACAATTCTGACAATGTCAGGCTGTTTAAAGAAAAAGCAAAGCTGAAATTGATAAATAACTTAATGTCAAAAGTAATAAAAAGAAGAAAACTTACTTCTAGATCTATTCATTCAAATTCCAATCACAAAATTTCGTCTCTAAATTTTTTTGTTTCATTTTTAGTCTGAAAAATACATTCCTTCCCCATGCAAAACTGCTCTTGATGACATTTGGGCATATTAAAGTATCCTACGAGCAATAACTGCCGTATGCTTTATGAAAAATTGAAAAGCATTGACAGCCATCACTCGAAAAATAAGTAAAACAACCCAGCGTTCTTGAGCAAGCTTCCAAGTTTTCCATTTTCCTAGCTCCTTTTCTGAATGTTTTCACATCTGTCAACACTTATTTTTTGTCTGTTACAATCCTCAAATAAGTTTTCTTTCTTTTAAAAAGGTGTACGACTAACAAATCCAAATTATATCCCTCTGAATCTTACACAATTATTTTCATCCCATGAAATACACAACTTTAAAAAATGGCTGCCGCTTAAAATTTACAAAGCCGGGTCTAATATAAATTCGCAGTAAGTAACAGAAATATGGATGGATGGTTGGACTTTTTCCCCTACAAGAATTGTTTGTCTTTATTATTTAAAACAAGTGATCATTCATATTTTTTTAATAAAATGAATAAAAATCACCGTCATTTAATGTTGATTGGCGGACTTATTTTTCAGCTCAAGACTTCTTGTTTTTAAAGAGAAATTCAGACTAAATGGGGCTCTCAATGGGGGATATAGTTTTAATATTAACGTTAAAGTTATGGAAATTTCGTTTTAACTTGTTTTTAAGCATAAAATAAAAAGAAAATTTGTCTGTTTGTTGTGTAAGATGTAATTTTATTTCATCTCGTGAACTTTAAAAACAGTATTCTCACTCGTGGCTACGCCACTCGTGAGAATACTGTTTTTAAAGCCCACTCGATGAAATAAAATTTCATCTTACACACAAACAAACAAATATCCTCTATTTCTTCTTTTTCGTAATATCGAGGGTTGTCCCAGTAAGTCATGGACAACAGTGTTTAAATATAGAATACTTCATGGACTCCGAAATATTTTCCTGGTAATTAATACGCCATTGCTGAACAAACATGTTAAATAACCAGCATGGTATCATGTAATTTGATTATAGATAACAAATTATACGACTTATAGGTAACACAATGCGGCCCACGCTCCAACGTATTGCTTTACCTTTTAAAAGTATCACCTTTGTAAGGATACACTTTTAATTTCCAGCCATTTTCTTATACGAGATATACGCATATTGTCATTGTGAATTCTTAGATCACACAATATAAAACTGACTAGAATGTCTGAGATACAGAGAACTGTTAAATGTATTTCTTAGTAAAAATAAATCGTTAATTATTGTCACTGTTCAAGATCGCTTGACTAAAGGCGTCAAATTGTTGCTAAATATTTTCATCACATGTTACATATTTTGTATGACACTTGCACATCCAAGGGTATACGTTGTAACTCTGACACATTTTCAATAGAAAAACTATGATAGTCAGGCGATACAGTTTAAGATAAAGTGTTTGTTATGAATCCAAAACTCTCTCCTCATATACGTAAGGATTATACATCTTGTTCTTCTTATTTTCCTCCTAAAATCCCTATGAAATACAACAACGTATTTGTCAATATAATGTATAGAAGACATCGTTTTAAAATTGACTTTGATGAGTGTAAAGTCTAAAGATATTTTAATGAATCTAAATAGGGACAATAGTTGGTTTTAAAAACGAAATAGTTTTGAAAGCATACATATCAATATTTTTTACTCGACTTAGCTGCATATTTAACTTGTTAGAAATAATCTGAAAATTTTCAGGGCTATGCATATCTTGAATTGTGTACATTTCTTAACATAAACATGTACTCTAAACGAATTTGTTCGTATTTTACTTTTTTATAGAAACAAATTTTGAATAAAAATCAATGTCTGCTAATAACAAACTCGCTTGGATCTTCCAACTGTATCCTTATAATGATCAGGAATTCCTTGCATGCGAATCAGAAACTTGTTCTTTATATAAGAAGCGTTTCTAGACAACCAAACAAAATCTATTTTCAAAATAAAGCCACATAAAATGAAGAGGAAAATCTTTTACGTGTAACTACTCGTGTATGTAATGCTTGAACATGCATGATTTGCATATACAGATTTCTGTCGTCAGTAACAGATATGTTTAACTGTCATTCTTCATGCCATGTTTTCTATACCTTTTTTGATTGGTTTTTGTTGTGGGTGTTTAGTTTTGTTTTTTACAGCTACAAACATCTTTTTCATGCATTGATTGGTGTCTTTGTGAACGGGGTGACTACAATCTGCAAATATCATTGACTTATTGATTAAATGCTTTTTTATATTCATTTAAACGGTGTGTATAGAAGTTCTTTTAAGTTTATTCAACCACTTTTAATGCATGCCAATGAAATACAGTCAGTAGAAAATATCAGATCTATGAAAAGCTTGTCTTTTGTTTGAAGTTGTAAATATGTAATTTTCTTCAATTTTCGCTAAGATATGAGGTCCTTATAAGCATTTATTCATTATAAATTGTTCGCTATGATAATGTTTTATTTATCAAATAAAGAAGAGCAGCAAGATTTGGACCAAAACAAGTTGTTCCCAATAACCAGAAGTCCGCTTTAACAGAGTTCGCTACAAAGCATGATTGTTGACAATAAATATGACCTGGTGGTCACGCCATCTTAACATTCTGTTAAAAAATGTTACCTTTTTCATAGTTCTTAATATCTACTTTGTTTTGTTCAATGTTTTTGTCAGTGACAAAAGGTACACAATTGCAGTATATACAGAAGTATTAATTTATAAATCAATTATCTTCCCTTAAATGTTTATCAAGCACAGACATATCACATGGAAATTGAATCACTTAATTATGTTGAAATAGTCTTAAGGTGCATTATTCAAGTTTCAAATAACTTGGTAGAGTTACTCTAATGGTAATATAAATAAATGATATGAAGGTAATTATATAAAAGCTACAAGTGATATTTTAACTTTATACACAACACTAAATTACAGTAACTGTACTTACTCTCAACAAGCAAAAATATTTTTATTCTAATTATTCTATCTTTACTTATCTCAACTAATTTGCATGTATATAATAATTAATGCATTGTTCTTCACAGCAGCACTCGGTGAGATTCATTTGTGTGGATTTGTGTGGATGATGGCGTATATCTTATTTGTGTAAAAGGTTAAAGATCCTACAGATCTGTAAGTTGATATTTTATTTCTATGAGAGTAATGTTTTAAATATATTAGGTACTTTGATGAATTATTGAATTCTAATAACTTTTGCATTGTTACAACTAAATGTAAGTACAGGGACCACTGTTTCATTGAGTAATGGACTGCTATGATTAAGAACTATGAACTTAGCTATGAACTATGTTATTGATATAATTGGAGATGTATAAATATCTGTGGATTTGAACCATGAGTTAGTTTGGGTATTTACCTACTCCAGGTAAAATGTTTATTTATTATGAACGATATAAAAGAGGGATAACTCTTTATATGACTTATAAGAATCTCCAATCATTTGGTAAGGATTGCTACTATTTACTATTTCAGTGCCTACCTTGTTGACATGCTTATATGATTACGTAGACTGATGGTTGGTAACTTGGTTTACAAGATGTACCGGTATACTTTGTGAATATGTCAGATGAGCTGTTGTAAATAATGTAAACATTTGGTTTGTCAATAAACTGCATATGATCGAACCTGAAGAGAAGATTTTGTATATATTGATACCCCTGAAGAGATACCCCAAAATTACACTTGTAATGTTTATGCAAAACGGAGCACATATAACACGGAGTCTGAAGATTTTGCTTAGTTAACACGATTAAATCATGTGTCGGCATACATATTTTCTACTGTTTTATTAAGCAGTAATATATAAAAAAAATCATACCCTTATAAAGATAATTAATAATATTCGCCGGATGACTTGAAACTTTCACCATTTTCATTTCTAAGTGTTGAATTCTGATTAAGCTGTTGCTCGAGGCCGTGCACGGTAACCTTAACCTTCACTTCCTGGTACCGTCCATGAACAGGCTCAAACCGATCCTGTAACATTTTCAATTTTGTCGTATCGACCGTTCTTTTAGGATTCCGTTTTTTCTATTTTAACCCTTTTGCTGCCAGAGGGTTATTTATTTATTGATCACCTATTTGCCAGAAGGTTTTCTAAGAAATTACTATATTATCAATTAATATAATTATTATTATTTGTTATTAGTATTATAATAATTATATATGTTTCCAAATCTGATAGTATATGATAATTATTGTCGATGGTATAATTATCTATATATTTATTATTATTATTATCATTATTATAATTATTATAATTAGTCCTCTACCGGTTTATTCGGAGGGGACTTTAGGTTTACCCTCCGTCCGTCTGTCCGTCCGTCCGTCCGTCCGTATGTCTGTCAGTCCGTCAGTCCGTCCGTCCACAAAATTGGATCCCGCGATAACTTGAAAAGTACTGAAAATATTTTTATGAAACTTGATATATGGATAGATGGCAGTATGGAGATTATGCACGTCTTTTTTTTCTTCTTCCTATGTTGAAAATTCTGGTTGCTATGGCAACAAATAGTCTAAAAATATGGCAAATTTAACACATAAACTGGATCCAGTGATAACTCAAAAAGTACTGAAAATATTTTTATGAAACTTGAAATATGGGTAGATGGGAGTCTGGAGATTATGCACATCTTTTTCTTTTCTTCCTATGTTGAAAATTCTGGTTGCTATGGCAACAAATAGCCTGAATTTCAAGATTTCTGATTTAAATTTTTCAGCTTTTTCACTATAAGTTCTTTATTTCTAAAGGTGTTTACTTCAAACTTTAAATATAAGTTTCTGGTCATCACCCACATCATATGTGACAAGGTTTACAACTCTAGCACAAAAATTATCAGTATTACCTCCCTTGAACTTAGAATTTTTATGAAAAAAAAATGTTGTCTTTTTTAAATAACTTCTTTATTTCCTAATGTATCTACTTCAAACTTCATATATATGTATCTTATTATCACTCAACATTTTTGAGAAGGTTAAATACTCTAGCAAGACTATTTTCAGAATTATGTCCCCCTTAAACTTAGATTTTTTTCGAGAAATTGGTATTTTTCACTCCAACTTCTGTATCTACTTCAAACTTCATATATATGTATCTTATTATCACTCAACATTTTTGAGAAGGTTAAATACTCTAGCAAGACTATTTCCAGAATTATGTCCCCCTTGAACTTAGATTTTTTTCGAGAAATTGGTATTTTTCACTCCAACTTCTTCATTCCTTATAGGATTTACTTCAAATTCCCACATCATAATAATATGACTGGGTTGTATAAACATAATTTCCTTACTAGGTATGGAAACTTAACACATTACTGTGATATAGACAAACTTAGAACTCAAAAGATTTAAGTTCATTCATGTCATTCATTCACTGGTTGAATGGCCAATGGCCCATCAGAATGTTGCTGGGGTTCTAACCGGTAGGGGACTTATGGATTGCTTGCAATACTATGATAATTGATTGTTATTATTATTATTATTATTATTATTATAGAAACGGCAAAAGCCGTCCATATGGCAAATACGCCGAAAATAATAGGGACGTCATATGCTGTCCCTATGGCAGTACGTCCATGCGTTTCCTTACATAATTATATTAATTAATTATATTACTATCTATAAATTGACAGTATATTGGACACCGAGCATTTATGAAGCTGCAAGGACGTGAAGACGAATCAGAAAAACTTAACAGGGATGCACTTACTATTGCACGGCGAGTTGCTGACAAGTACGGTAAACTGATTGCAGGAGGTCTGTCTGACACACCTTTGTATTCTAAGGACGACAAGGAAAGTCATCAAACGATATATGAAATATTCAAGGTGACGTCATTTTCATCACGTGATATAAATATATTGACGTTTTAACAAAAACTTGCAATTTGAATATAATACGATTGGATAAGAAAATAGATCTTTAAAACATCATTTGATGTGCTAAAATTGTGTTAGTATAAGTAAACAAATTTATTTAAGTATAATTTAATGAAAGCTTGAAGATTGTACCAATCTCGCGTTTGTTTCCAGGAATAAATTAAGGAACACTTCCAAATAGGAAAATTCAATCATGGCATCTCAAACGAAGACACACATTTTAACCACTTGACTAACTCATCTCTGAATGCTGACAAGCCACTTCGTCATTTCCCGGACTAAATATTCTGCGTAAAAGAAAATATTTGCTTAATGATATTTTAGTTATGGAAATGCACTTTTATAAATGTCAGGAGCAAGTGAAGGAGGGGTAGATTATATAATTGGAGAGTCATTTGATTCCTACGGTGAGGCACAGCTCGCCTTGAGGGCTATAAAGGAATACGGGAAAGGTAAGATCAACTCAAGAGTCCTTTAAGAAGTGTTTGTATAACTTGTATTTGTCCAACTGAGGGCTATAAGAGAATTTGTAAATGGTAATGTTACAGGTAGAGCGTTGTAGTGTGAATCGGGCGACCTAGACTCGATTCCCAGACAATGCATGTCACTTTCGTTGTCATTGATCATGGAATCCTTTTACGGTCATTCACACTATACCTCTTCTCTGGCATGAACAGAAGTTACCAGTTCCTTGCGAATGTGAAGGCAACAAGTACTGACAAACAAGTTAACAACCTGCCTAGGAAAGAGGCGGTAGCTGAAGTGTGATCTGGTTAATCAAATGTAACTTGATCAACTGTATAACTTACTGCCATGTTCCGGACACCACAATCATCAATTTTTTGGGTGCAATAAAATATTCTGGATTACATTTACCTAATGCTTTATGATTCATCAATAAAAACACCTGGAAAAAAACACATTAGATATCAATCTATGCAAAAAGAAGCGTTAGACAAGTTCAATACGACGACAATACAGTCAGCAAATCACTTTCCTGATCAAAAGTAAGATCTTTTAATTAAAAACATATGCAAAAAAGACATACACTGTAGTACATTTACTTCTTATTTACCTTTTGAGATCAGGTTGTCTGGCGGTGATCACAATGGCGGCACATATTCCGGACTATACAACGGATGGTCTTGTTCGTTTCTTTAAAAAAAAATGCCAGTTTTTTTTTAATGACACTATATATCCATATTGTGACAACCTGTAGTGTGTAGAGTTTAAAACATATCAACATAATTATATGCTTTGTGTGAAGTCAATATATTGGTCTATGCTGTGGAAATTATCCTAGTTTGATACGTGAGGTGGCCGAGGTCTATGGAAAGAAACCACCAGCTTCAAAATACGCATGGATATCTGGGGAAGTCCCTAAAACTGAAAGAGGGAAGAAAATTAGACGGTTTATGGTTGGAGAATAGTTATTTGATTCTTTTTTGTTGATTTTGTAATAAAGTCAAGATTGAGGACGAATATAATCCCAAATGAATTTATAATCAATGTGTGGTTATGGAAAATCATTTATTGATAAAAATTTGATGTGTATATTTATATATGTAACATATTATGAACATAAAAGATAAAACCTTTAACAGCATTTTTACGAACTAAAATTAAATTTAATATATCTATGGACACTTCAGTGCAATTTAAATAGTCAATTGTGTATGTAAAAGCAAAATACAAAAGTTTCGCTGCCAAAGTTAACATAGCGAGTTTGTGTTGTAGTGTATTCAGCACTCAAAACGATTCGTTCTGGTCAAGATAAAATCGTCGTAAGAAATAAATGAACGTCGGATGAAAAATGTTGCATAAATTCAATTATTTTTTTTGCAGCTCCTTAATTTCACATGGCAATCATTTATATGTCACACTGATGGAATATTTAAGTTATAGCATATATACCCGGCGGTGATTGGTTAATATCCAAATAATTACCCGTAATATGGTATATGGAAAATAAGAACAGATATAGGGGACTATATCAGAATATAATAGAAAAATAAGGTTTTATCTTCAAGTCTCATTCATCAAAAAGAAAGAATTCAATTACAACGAATGAGATAGAATAATCGAATAAAATATCCAATTCCTGTTGTTTCTCAAGTGTGAAAATGATATTTGTAATTGCGGGATATAAAGCTGGTCCTTGTTTCTTTTCGACAGAATCAGTTGTGTCTGGATATCTCTTAAATTGGTTCCTTCGACAGGTAAGAAGTTCAGTAATCTTGATTATTATTAAATCTAGAAGTTATTTTGCACATATGTGACATTTATTATATAACTGAGACAAAAGGTGATATATTTTTTAATAAATTTAAGTTTTGATATATTTATAATTCATTTAATCATTCGCTCTTTGATTATAGCCTGAATGTAGTTTTATTTTACATATTTTTTTGTATTTTTTTGTGTTATTTTTTGTTCTTGATAAGTAATTACAACCTATGTTTTATTATATTATGAAATAAATTTGTTATAATGAAATAGCTAGCATAATTTATAATACTGACTTCAATTAACAGATCGGAAATTAATATATATAGCTTATTCTGAAGGTAGAACTATTTCCTTTGTCACAAATTTAAAAAATAAGCCAATTGATCGTGATCATATTTTGTAGAAAATCCAAATAATTGTATTACTTTTTTCTACAAGATAGATAAAAAGTGTTAAGAATAGATAAAATCTACAACTTTTCCAAATTAAAGGAATAAAACAAACAAACAAAAATTCACAAAACAAACAAACAAAAATTCACAAGACGGTCTATTGTATGAAAAGCTAATACAGTTTAAAAAAAAAATAAGATAAAGATGTCGTTCTAAGAACATGTAACCTTTCTGGAAATGTTCTTTTTTTTCTCAAGTTTTAAGTTTTTATTGATATCTCAAGGCCCAACTGGGCATGTGAGAAAACAACAATATAACAAATGTTTACAAAACAAAGTAAAGTGATACATAATTGGAATGGCAATGTTATGAACATAATTATGTACATAAAAAAGAGAAAAAAAAAATAGAATAAAAATATAACATATTTATACTTAACAATTTAGAATCGGAGAATGAGATCAAAATGAAAAAAAAAATTATATCAATATGTATTATTAAGCACAAAGATTATTTTCTTACAGAATATAGCTAGATTGAATAAAACATTTTTGCTTTCACTATTCATTAAATTTAAAAAAATTAATAATGTTAGGTCTATGAAAAAATGAATTGTCTAAATATGTCTTTCTCAGGTGTTGAAAATAGGAACAGTGAAATAAATAATGAAATTCATCACCTAACAAATTATCAGAACATAAACAGCACACTCTTAGACTTCTATCCAAATTAAAAAATCTACCTGTTTCGAAGGCATTTTGTGGTTCATACATCTAAATTTGAAAAACGCTATTGCTAAATCTGATGGTAAAATGTTAAAGTATTTTTCAAAACCAAATTGAGTTTTAAAAATTCTATAATTCAAACATTTACTGGATTCATGAATAGAAGATTGCCAATCTTGAATAAACTGATCCTTAATTCTAGCAGAAATAATTTTCTTAAAATGTGGGACAGAACTAACTGTTTTAAAAATCCAATAACTTGACAGACCGAGAGAATCTAAAGAAGTATGCACAAATTTCAACCAAGGAAAATCCACATCAAAATCAGAGTAAAGTTTCTTTGACATGCAATACAGCATAGAACAAATTTTATCTTTTTATCATTAATCAATTTGCCCCAATAGTTCAGAACTCTTGACTTAATTTGCAAAGACAAAGGCAATATTCCTAGCTCGCCTTAAACCATACATGATGGGGTAGATTGCTTCAGTCCGAAAACTAATTTAATATATTTCAATTGGAAACGATCAATTATTTATACATTTTCTACTCCCCAGACCTCGGATCCATATAAAATAATAGGAGCCACCATTGCATCAAATAAACTCAATTGTATATCAAATGGTAAAGAAAGTTTCCGAGACTTTGTTAACACAGAAAACATAGCTTTTCGAGCTTGATCAATCAGTTTTTTTCTTGTGCCTAAAAAATTTCCGTTCTAGATAATTTCTTTTTATCTATTTTTCTTTCGTTTCTTTTTTTTCCTTCTTATATAATTATGTTTCTATATTTATTTCTCTTTTCAGAACTCTTTAAAATGAGACGCACAACCCATTTTTACGTCATGGTGACGTCATTGTGCATGCTTCTTCTGAAAGGTACACGCTCAGATCAGGCAGGCGACAAAGGTGACAAATGCGTCAAACAAGAAAATTATAACTCTTCTCTCAGCACATTAAATATCAATGATCTAAAATTAGATTTAGAGAAATACAATGTAGAATGCATTGTAGATTCATTACCTGTAAAGGCCAGTGACGGTAAAGAAGTCCGAAGCAGTGATTTGGATGACATTGTTGAAGAAGCGTCATACTACAAAGACACAACACCTTCGTCGTCATCTAGACACACTGTCATTGCCTCTAGTAGACATTCCGAGAGAAGAATTGTGCAAGATGCAAGCAGACGGTATGCCAAATTCCAAGACATACGTAGAACTGATAACAGACGCGATACATTAAACAGGAGACATTCTTTCAACCTCGACAGAGAAATAAGAACTAGAAGAGAAGTGCGTGGAGAACATATCAGAAATGAAGGTCGCAGACGACTTGGTTCTATAGATAGACAGACGGCCCTAAGACGTTTGAACCTTCAAGCCCGCAATCGGCGAGAGCGTCGCACCTTGACATGTGGAAATCGTGAAAGCCGGAATAGTGAAGAACTAAGACGAAACAACATTGACAATATGCAGTCGAATACAAGACGTGTTAACCAGAGAAATAGCCAGTTATTTGAAAGGCGGGAAAACCGCGACGCGCTTACAACTTCCAGGAAAGTTCGCGATGTTGAAAGAAGAAATGGCCAAACTTACCGAAACGATTTACAGTCAAATAACGTCATACGAAATTCGAGACAAGAGAGCAGAGAAATTCGCCAAGACGACAAGAGTAGGCGTTCATTTAGAAATATTGATAACAGACGTGATCGAAGAGACAATCGTGAATCTTCAGACATAAGAATCCGTCACACTCGAGAACTTAAACAAGGTAATCAATTTCGATCAAGTCACGATGATAGAATAGTTATCAGAGAGCGGCATGAACTATCTAATGAAAGAGAAAATCGTGAAATTGATGTCGTTCGGCGGGAATCCAGAAGAATTGTAAACGCGGGAACCAAACCAAGCGACAGAAGTGTCGATAATATGAGATATGTTAGAAAAAGAGAAATATCAGCGAGATCTAAAGTTAAGGCACAGTCTGCTGTCAGTCGTGAAATGTCCCAGATTGCAAGACTAGACGATGTTCGGCGCTTGATCAGCAACAAAAGAGATAGGCGAGATGTGCGTCGGTATGACGGTGAAAATTATATGAGGGACAACAACAGACAAATACGCACATACAACAATCGAGAGGTGAGCAAAGTAAGATATTATTTTATATTATATTTTGTTTTTAAATATGTTTGTCTATTACATTTTGTTTTTATGTTATATTTTAACGCCATCTTGATTATAATGCACAGAATAACCGACTCTTCATCTAAAACTTGAGTATTTTAAAGTAAGTGCTTTAATATAACCTGCAAAATTTGACAAATGGTGATGTCGGGCATAAATGCAATAACGCTTAAATTACATGTTTAATGCAAGGTATTATATTAAACTTTCCTTGCAGGGAGTGGGTTTCAAACGTGTAATATTTACGCAATATATATGGGTGCAAGTGTCTACCATTTAGTACCGGCTTCATTGCATTTAGAGACACATAATTACGTCTTTAATTACATGAATTATGCATTATGTTTGTAATATAAGAATGATTTACGTGAGTAAAATCTTTCTGATTTAAAGAGTTTGCATAAAAAGATAGATGAAAGAGATTTCATGTGTACATATTCCAAAAGAGTGATGTCAAGAATTTAATATAAATGTGCTCACTGTGAATAAAGTGGTACATATCAGCTCAGACATCATTTTTTGGTGGAGTTAAAGAATGTTTGCTAATAATGACAGTTCATCTATAAATATTAATTTTAGAAATGCCAAGAAAAAGTATATTGTCGGTAAAGAGTACCAAGCATCGGCAACAACGAAGTAAATTTAAGCGTTATACGTCTTCAACTTTACAATAACATCTAGGCTTTAGCAATGGCGAAGTAAATTTTCAAGTAATGGTTGTTTCCCTTTCAATAAAACATCAGTTTTTCGGACGACGAAGTGAAATTTTCATGCAAATGTTGTTTTCCTTTAACGAAGTAGATTTTAATGCTATGACAGTTTCTTTGAATCAAAGTGTCCAAACGAACGAAGTGTAATTTCTACGTTTTGATTGATAAACTTTAAGCGTTACGGAATTTTAAACGAAGAAAATAAAATGATTGCTCATCTTTAAAATCAAGCGATGCGCAATGTTTTACGTTATATCTCTAAAAAAATTCACTGATAAAATATGCTCTTTTTCTGCTAATTTTGCTAGATTAATGCTGTGAGAGGAATGGGTTACAAACAAGACTCATCATTTGAACACGGATGGAACATGTAAGTACAGTAAAACAACTTCTGTAGAGCAATACCCTGCTGGAGACTCAGACTTTGGTCGTTGCTGAGAGGTATAGCTCTAGAGTGGTTAAATTGATACTGTTGTTGTAAAGAGGTGATTGCTGAACAGAGGGTCGCTTTAGAGAGGTTGCTATGTATATCAATCTATATTTCTTCTGTTGTACCGATTGATGATATCAACAATTATTTGTTATTTTTGTCATTCTATAATATGCAATTTTAACAATGTTTTTTTTTATGATAAAATGCCTGATATTTACTTTTATAATTATGCACGAAAAGTAGGCCGGTTGTTTGGTAAAAAATACTACATGTACGAAAAGTAGGCCGGTTGTTTGGTAAAAGATACTAAATGTACGAAAAGTAGGCCGGTTGTTTGGTAAAAGATACTACATGTACGAAAAGTAGGCCGGTTGTTTGGTAAAAGATACTACATGTACGAAAAGTTAGCCGGTTGTTTGTTAAAAAATACCATTACGATTCTCATGTCCATATTTTGCTTGATCGGGTTTGGAATAATAGTTTGTTTTAATCGTTACTTCGTTATGTATAAACGGATTTAATTCATTAGTGTTGCAACAGTAGCTCTAGACGCTTGTAGAAATGGTGATCACAAAATCGAAAAATATGTCTTTATGTTGTTAACTTGTTGTTGTTTTTTTTTCAACGATTCTTTCATTTTTCATTCAATACCACATATAAATCGATGTAGAAAATGAATTAGACATCTTATAGTGCATTTCCGCGGGTGAAAAGGCGTGATTTTGGCATTTAATAGTTCAAGCGTATTGGCCGGTATATGCCACACGGTATTTAGTGTGGTGCTCCAACACCTTTTTTTTGGTCTCACTCATGATAAACTCTGTACACCAGTTTAGAATGATTTCAAATCTCACAGGAAAATCGGCTGTTTCTAGAAAATCCGTGTAGTTAGTTTACAAAATGTCGTATGATGATTATACTTTTATATGCTTGACAAATGTAATTTCATTCCATTATTTACTTTCTAGGGATGGAATTGGGATAACCAGAGCAATAGTTGTAGGTTTCGTAGGAATTCTCGGACGAAAGATCTGGCAAAAGCAGGCGTAGAGTATAATTTTTAGAAGAAACCCAAACCGGCGTTAGACACATCGACCCATACTGCAAGATTTTAAAACGATTAAAGCTTATATAAAATTTGACCAAACTGTAATTGCGCACATGGCGCTTAAACTAAGCATTTTGTAAATCAAACTTATTAAGAAAAGTACATTGCGCTTTTACACATTTTGTAAAGCAAACTTACCAAGGAAAAGTACATTGCGCTTTTACACATTTTGTAAATCAAACTTACCAACGAAAAGTACATTGCGCTTTTACACATTTTGTAAATCAAACTTACTAGTAAAAGAGTAGAAGCATTGTCGTGGTGTTTGAGTTGTTATCTGTTTTAAACAACATGCCATTCAAAAAGTGCCAGGTTAATTGAAGTTGCATAAAGTGACATAACGAATGAATCATACAACAATAAGTGGGCTAAATGCATGTTGATGAGTCAGATACAAAAATAGACTTCCCGTTTTGTTAAACTCTAACTTGTCACTCAAGTGTCACAACTGTTTTCACTTTTCCTCCTGGGATTCGCAGTTGTAAGAATAGTAATCCGGGAACCAAACATGGCGTCAAAATGATATGCAATTGCTTGTTAAAATCTATATCAACTTCACTAATACATATGTTGTCCACTTGTTTGCTTAGACTTAGTCTGTATTGGGTTCTATTTTGTGTGTAGGGGTCTTTTTACGTTCATTTTTTAATACATTGTAGATTTTTTTAACAAAAACTTGAAATCGCTGTTGTTAATTTTCAGTTCGACTGCAAATTTAAGAATGCGTGCAGGTATTTATTCCCGAATTTTTTGTCGCTTGTTCGTACCATCTATTGACGGAGATCGCCATAAAGCCATATTGAATGAATGCATATACATGTATTTTTTCCTGAAATAGTATAACATAAGAGCGCAGACGATAATTGATCATTGATATTTAAATTATATAGTATATGATTTAACTATAACCTCTCTTCAAGTGACAGCATGCCCATCAAATTGTAAATGCTCAGTGAACAGGTAAAAATAGAAATAATTTGACATTTTGCCACAATTGTGTTCAAAGTTGATTTCACTATTGGAAAATAATCAATAACTTCCGTGGCAAACAGAAATGTCTATAAATATCGTTCAGAATGTAACGAAAACGCCTATTTTTTTTTAAAAAAGTGAGGCAGTCTTTATAATGTAGACAGTTTTAATATTGTATCAATCGAACATAATTTACTAAATATGCATATAACAATTCACCTATAACATGCATAACTATATTGTAAAGAATAGAATAACAACAGGCATTGTCGTAATTTTCTTTCCATGTCTTATAATGATAAGAGTTTTTGGCAATTAATTCAATAGATTTAAAGCATGTTAAAAACAAATATTAAGAAGTTAACGCGATCTCTTTTTAAGAATGTTTTACTCGGAGTAATCTATTCCTAGTAATAGATAAGTAAGTAAATGATATTTTCCATGTTATATTGTAATTATTACTGTTTGATATTGACGAGTAATATGACAATAAAGTCGAGAAGCATCTTTAACAAGATTTGAGCAGTCAGCATAATTGTCATAACCTGTGTGTTCTATTTACAATTATTTCTCAACCTAATATAAGTAGGATTTAACTGGCTACAGTGTTGGATGAGTACATTGTACCTGCAGACGTTTGCAGAAATCATGATCACAAACTAGAAAAATATCACTTTTTCCCCCAACCAGTATAAACATTTTCTTTCCATTCATTGGCGAATATAAATCGGTGTGAAAAGATGAATTAGACGTTTTAAAGTTCATTCCGTTGGTTGAAAAGTCGATATTTTAGCATTTTTTTAGCATTCAAGCGCCTTGTTCGGTATATACGGAATACGGTATTTAGTGTGGTGCTCCAACAGTTTTTAGTCTCACAAATATAACCATTGAGCTTCCGACTTTTGCTTAATGTGATCTTAAATATAAATTGAATCTGATCTTATCGATTTAGCTTTCTTTTTTATTTCAGGCTCTACAAAATCCATATCTTATCCATATTGAACCCCATATATATTTTCCATTTTCAAGTTCAAGCATTCCATATCAAATCCATATTGTACAGTGTAATTTAAAAACATAGTTTTTACATAATACAAAAAAACTGCTTAATTTTTGTGTTTTCTTTAATCTCACGAGTTTGCCCCTTTGAAATTGATGATTTGATATAAACAGGACATTATACATTAATGAGCACAATACTGAGTCTATTGGACTCGTACACAGTTGAAAAACCTATATAAGTTCGACTATCGTCTCGTCCAATATAGGTTTTATGTAAATTGTGCAAAGGATATACACAAGTCGTCAGAAATTTTATACAAATAGTATGAAAAACTCCTTTTTATTAATAAAAATTAAATTTCAGAATTATATTTATTAGATTTTGTTTATCTGTCTTTCATTGAACCTTGACGACAGCAGATAAATACAATAAAAATATATTGTTTGTAAAATAAATAATATCCGAATGTTGCCTATCCGATCGCACATCCAATAAAAACAGACAGCAGAATAATCAACGTGATTAGTGATACATGAAACATCAAAAATGTTATTGCCACTCGAAAAGTCCCCCTTTTTTCGTGACTAATCCCATTCCAGATATTGAGCACTGATATGTAACAGGTAACCATCTCCCGTACAGTAGATATACACGTCACTTTGTCTAGCACGGACACTCGGACGAACAGGCAATGGTGACCCCTCTGTAATGTAAAAGAAAATACAAAAAAAATGAAACACATGAGTATTTATAAGTCTAACAAGCTACATTTTGTCGAAAAAATCTCTGATAATGACATGAAAAAAAGAATGGGCTTCTAAAGCCACTACATGTAATACATACTATATAGTCCTTACGAAAATGAATATATTGCGTCAGGAATGGCCTAGAGCGACACCTAGTTGGATCCTTGTGCAAGCTAGGAATATTTATAACACAAATTTTGCTTAGAACGTATAATTGTTTACGTAAAGAAGCTGTTAAAGAAACTAGCTTAGGAAAGATATTTTTAAACGGAAGGGAGGCACCTAGGGTCTTGCTCCATAGCAAAAATGCAGACTCATTTATTATTTGCAGTCTCTGTTTAACTAAAGACCAGTGACCAAAATAGGATTTGAAACGTAATTCATCACCGGTTCATAAATAATTTTAACATAAAATGCTCATCATTCTCTATTTCATAACGGATGTATTACATATAAAATGTTGATGAATATGTCACATATCGGGTTAGGTCAGAAGACGGACTCTTACGTCATTATCATCCATGACGTTTATGTTGATGAAACTGTCGGAAGGTCTACACGTCAATTTGACGTGCATCATTTCCGATTTGTCAATATTTAAATCTGGCAGTTAGTAGATACTGATCGTTTTTTCGTTGTTGTGTTGTTTTTTTTTTTTGCAAATAGATAAACACTTCTTAATATGTAATGTCTTGGAATCACAGCGCTATATATAGTCCAATAATAGATTTGAATTTGAATTAAAATTAAATGGTTCATTCAAAGGGAGTTTAAACATATAAAATAGTTTATAGCATTTCAAAGTTATTTTGGCATCTATTCAAACTACTCATTTTTTTTTCTCGGTACTGAAATTATGGTTTTCACATGTAACACAGAGTTGCTACGTCGAATGACTTTTCATCCATTAAGGATGTAAATTTTTATATTTTATCAGGCACTGTAACACTTCAAAACTTTCGTACTACAAAACGTCGGGATATTGATAACGAATTTCAACTCAGACATACTATCCGTCCGTATATAAAACTTGTCCTTCCTTTTACACAACATCGTGCCAGTCCACCTGTACGTTAGTCCATCTGTTCGTCTGTCAGTCAGAACAAATTTTTTCATCAACTTCGTTGACACATGCTACTTTTTGCTGTTAATTTACAATTTTTACAAGCGTGTTGGATGAAATTGTTACCGTTTAAGGTCTATTAACAATTTAAATTCAAGCATATTTCTTTTTTTTAAACTCATAATCAAGACCAGAAAAAAATATATGTCAGTATCGTGAAATCTTTGAATAAAAATTATACAGAATAAGAAAACAGATATGCAGCTAAACGTTACACTCGCCGCAAATCTTACCCATGTACGAAATGCAACGCAAAGCGTCTACACAAGTACGATTTGCGGAACGAATGTTTTGTAATGTTACAGCGCGCTCTTGAAACGTTTCAATAAATAGTCTTGACACTATGTGAAGTAACTTTGTGTAATAGGAACGCGAAATTTTTAAAATTTATAGTTAAGCTAAATCAATGGAAGGTCATATGCGCAATATTATACAATAAAAATCAGAAAGGCAGACACTTCCGATCAAAATAGATCACATATCGACCACGAAGTTATTACTGGTACTACAACGCCTCTGCTTTAATGTGAAACAAACATACCTGCAAATTGCATCGCAGCCATACCAAAGAGTTTCGCCATGTACTGAACATACCGGATCTACGTCAGTACGTACACATTCGCACGTGCTTGGTGGCTGGTTACTAGGTTCAGCATTAAAATTATTCGGATTAGTTCTGTAACGACGTTTGACCCCAGGCTGATGGTCATATTGGTGGGGGTTATATGGGGGTGGTTGATTATTATTTGCGGCCGGTGCTGGATCGTAAGGTCCTGGCTGGGTACCGTATTGCGCCGGTGCTGGATCGTAAGGTCCCGGTTGGGTACCGTATTGCGCAGGTGCCGGATCATAATGGCCCGCTTGGGTACCGTATTGCGCCGGTGCTGGATCGTAGTGTGACGGTGCCGGATCGTAGTGTGCCGGTGCCGGATCGTAGTGTCCCGGGGCGGGATCGTAGTGTGCCGGGGCAGGATCGTAGTGTGCCGGTGCGGGATCGTAGGCGTACTGTGTTTGATGTGGATCGTATGCAGCATGTTGATTACCGTGTTGGGCCGGTTGTGGTTCGTATGGAGCTGGGTCGTAGGACGCAGCTTGATTATTATACGCCGGCGGCTGTGGATCATAGGGGGCTGGTTCCTGGGCATACTGGTTGGGCTGGGGATCATACGCAGCTTGACCTGCAGCAGGACACGGACACTCACCATTACAATCTTTGTCTTCGTTACTGAAAAACAAATCCCATAAAGCTAGATAATATTTCCTTATACATGTCTACCACCTTAAGATTCAATACTACCAGCAAAGGATTAAATTAATGCATGACGGTAATTGGGAAATTATTAACATTTCTTCCCCGTGAATAGTTACTACGATGCATTCTTAATCATTGAAAATTAATTATTGCGCCATAAATGAATAATTAATTGTTAATTGTTCCTAATGTTCATGTGTCAATGCGATGCAATGTATGTGTGCGGTATTCCTTTAAACTTGTCACATCTTGACGTATTTTATTCACATGCATTAATTTATGTTCAATACATTACCTTAAATTATTTTAAATTTATTTGAATGTTAAGCATGCGCCTCTAAACTGTTCGAAAAGGTAGCGTAATTATTAAATTTTCTTTCCCAAAATTTGATTGTCCTTATTATTGTCAAATAGCCTTTATGCGGTTTCGATCAACTACCGGTACAAAGGACCGGAACAGTTGCTTGTATGTATCAAATCAATTGGTATATGGCAGGGCAGCCTGCAAGTCCCTATTTATACATCCAGGCTAGTATACACGCCCGTGTCCTAGTAAGAATAAGCCAGAACAACGTTGACATCCGTATCCATATAAAAAGTATATCAGGGCTGCTTGCGCGTTCAGATCCATTCAGCCAGTATTGTACGCCTGTGTCTATACAATTAGTTCATGCCCGGGCAACCTGTACGTTAATGTCCATACAAACAGTACAGATTATGCCACAGTGCACGTCTTTGTCCATGCAATTAGTTTAGGTCCTGGCAGCATGTACCTCTATGTCTATTAAACCGGTAGAAATGACGGCAGCCTGTACGTCTGTGGCTATACAAACAGTTCATATAGGTCAAATCAGCCTACATGTGCGCGCGTGTGTGTACGGCAAGCAAGTTTTCACATGTGTGCACAGATCCAGTATATGTCGGGCTGGTTTATATAACCGTGAATTTCAAACAGGTTTTATGCTGTTGGCTGCTTGACGTTATAATACCGGAATATTGCAAAATCCATAAATGCAGATATTTTAATAATTCAGATTGGGAAAAAATTGATAAAAATTTACTTAATATTACTTTAATGTCAGTATATAGAAGTGGCACACGTTAGTAGCACTCTCACATTGGTTACTTGAAGCAGATACAATTCTGCATAATATTTTTACCAGATGTATAAAATGATGTCATATATAGTATTGGGTAAGAAATTAGTATCCTTTAAATGATATATAAGTAAAAATATATATTCATGCCTCTGATTACTATGCACAAGGGAGTAAGCAAACACATGGATATTTAAATATTAACCCTTATTTGTGATTTACGAAAGATGAAGTTACGGAGATAAATATGGTGGCAAGTTTTACTCAATTCTTCACACATGGTGAATAATGTTACATGATAAAAATGATAATAATTAATAAATGATAAATGATGATAAATGATGAATAATAATTCATGATGAAAAATTATAATAGTTTATGAATAATGATACGTGATGAATAATGGTTCATGATGAAAAATGATTCATGATAAAATATGTTAATAGTTTATGAATAATGATACGTGGTGAATAATGATTCATGATGAAACATGACAATAATTTATGAATAATTATACATTATAAATAATGAAACATGACGAATAATGATACATGATGAATAATGATTCATGATGAAAAATGATCATACTTTATGAGTAATGATTCATGATGAATAATGGTTCATAATGAAAACTGATTCCTGATAAAATATGTTAATAGTTTATGAATAATGATGCTTGATGAATAATGATTCGTGATGAAAAATGACAATACTTGATGAATAATTATACATTATGAATAATTAAACACGAGGAATAATAATACATTATAAATAATGAGTACAAATTTACAGCATTTTCTTCAGTCAAAATTGTTGCGTTTCATGACGAAAAATGACTTTTCCGCTTTAAAGTTTTTTTTTAAATAATAAATGTAGTTTATAAACTGCCTTCTTTTTTCCTTACAAAAATATCATGGATAATATTATTATAAATAATATCTACAATTTATATTTTTTATACTTTACGTATAACGATGATTGATGATCAAACTAGAATAATGAGGATTATTCCTTCAATTTCATAAACAACCGTTTTAATGAATAATAATAATAATAATAATAATAATAATAATAATAATAATAATAATAATAATAATGATGAAAGAATGAGTATTATACCTGCATTTTCTCAAACAATCGTTATCATAGGTACGTCCCCACATGGAGCATACCGGCTGGTAGGTCCGGCTACAGTAATCTTCGCAAAAGTACACTGGCTCAATAAATGTAAATAGGCCACATGGGCATTCTCCGTTACATGCCGTCCCCGCACCACCTCTGTTGGTTAAATATTGGTTATAATATAATATGTGTTAATACTGAATACAATCAGCGTATAATGATATAGCGTTATATTATTAGCTGTACAAGTTTGCTGTTATATGGCAGAATATAGCCTGAATGAGATAAAAATGACTTGAGACGCTAGTCGAAGGTTATATTTATGTCAGCAAGGCTATATTATATAGTTAAAGATGGTGAATTAGAGTTATCCACAATAGACTGGTGGAAATTCGGCATATTTCGACACTACTATCTCCTGATAAAAATGAAAATGCATTTATATGACAAGGATAATGCAGGTTTTTGTCAACTAAGCGCTTTTTAAAATGTATTGAATACGGTATGTGGCGAAGTTTGCCGAATTTACACGAGCTATTGAATGATGGGATACCTTAATGAAATAAATGTTGTGAATAAATATACAGTTTATTGTGAAAAGCTTATGGCTGTTATTATGATATAAATCAAAAACCTAATGGTTAGTTATTTAAAGTAAATCTGGATCACGCTGCTTGTCGGAATTTCGTTAAAATTATGTAAAGTTTTAAGGAAACATTCTTCCTTCTGCCACTCAAGTGCAAAAAATATGTCTTATCAAATTGCTGACTCTAATAAATTGTTTTTATGCTCTTAAAGGTTAAATACTTAAATGCGTGCATAATAATGGTATGGAACGCTGTTAATGAGTTTATTGTCCTCATAAATGTTTAAAAAAATATTAAAATATTAATATTCAACTTTGATCTGCCATAAGTAGAATGACTCGAATTTAGGTAAAAAAAAAACCCTGAAAAAAGCAGGGATAACTTACGAACATGTTAAATCACATGGGTTGGTATAGGTTATGCCATCTGTCCCACAAACGGGGGCATAAATGTTGTTACAGTGGCATGCAGATGCTCCTCCTCCGGCAGCTGGTGCTCCATTTGAAACATACCCTTGTCCGTAACCTTGACCTTGTCCTTCACCGGGTTCCCTCTCTACAGGTTCCCGTTCAATTTGAGGTTTTGGTTTAGGTGTCGGTTTAGGTTTCTTTGCTTGAGTTTTCTTGGCTTTAGCTTTATTATTTGAACTTTTCGCCGATTGTCTGATATCTGTCATAGCCTGTGTTTGGGAAGAACCTGTTTTTGATTTCTGTACATTTTGTCGGCTACCACTTGTCGTCTGCGTAGCAGATTGTCCAGGGTTAGACGCGCCATTATTTCCCCCTGTATTTGAATTCATGTTTGGTCCTCCACTTTGTGCAGCCGCACTTTTTGCCATTTGAGTTGATTGCATAAGAATGCTTTTCATAATCTGAGCTAAAGTTGATGTTACTCTAGGTCCTCCGAAGGTGGTGGTTTGTGCTGCCGGGAGGCCGGTTGGCTTTGGTTGAGCAGGTGCACCGTTAGCTCCGAGTCCCCTTGTTGTCGTCTGCATGCTTCTTTGAGCTTTACCCGGAAGCGTTATTGTAGTATGTTGTCTTTGTTTTTGATTTTGCTGCTGCAATTGTTGTTGTTGTTGTTCGGCTTGATGCTGCTGCTGTTGCTGCTGCTGTTGTCGTTGTTGCTGCTGAATGTTGTTTGCTTGTTGCTGAGCTGTTGTTGTTTGTTGCAGCATTGTTGTAGTGGTTGGCATCGGTGCGTAAGGATCGAGATCAGGCCTAGCAAAGTCGCTGGCCTGATATTTGATACTGTTCTTACCACAAGGGCATGGACCTTGGCATTTAAACCCTTCATAACTGAAAACACCAGTTTTATATGCATATAACATGTATAATTTATCAGTTTTTATTAAAGAGAAAGGTCAAGGAAGAAAACATTTAAAATGGTGGCATTATGATGAAGTTTTCAGTTAATATATGCTAATTGATAATTAGTATGGATAAGTTCCGGGTTAAAGGTTATTCCGTAAATAATTTTTCAGAATATATATGCCAATACATAAAGCCATTTAATATTTCTGTTAATAAATGAGGATAAATAGAGGAGAAAATGTACATTTTTTCGTGTTTTTACATCAGTCTGTAGAAGCACAAAGATCTGTTTAAAACCCGAGTCCACAGGGTGAGATATTTAAAAAGCCTGGGAGCTTCTGCAGATGTTGATGCACGAAGAAAGGTACATATTTAGAGCTATTCTTGCATAAAAATATATATCTTAATCGGTTATTCCGCGTTTTTTCTATCTATTTCATACAAGACAGTGCACTGCAAACAGTATCTGTTCCAGCGTGTTCATGTAACAATCTATCAGTTAAAATGGCTATCTCTGTTCTCTTTGACTCCCTCAGTTAGGCATATTAAAAATTGTAACAATGGCGCGTGGTCACGTAAATCTATGATACATATATGCTTGCGCAATTTTTATACAAGAATAACATTTTTAACAAATAGAACAGTTTTGATAAGTAAACATACATACAACCTTTTCTTTATGTAAAGCCCGAATGTGTATTTACTAAAAATTTTTAAATTTTTCCATTGATTCAATGTATCAGTATTTGAAAATATATGAAGCTTCTTTTCGTTAATGTGCTTGCTTTATTTGCTGCCATAACGGGTTTGTGGCCCTTAATAGAAATCGGAGAACACGCGGAGATTAGCTAATAATAGAAGGGGCATAACCCAAATTAATCGATCATCAACTGTTTGACTATTTTTTATTAAACTATCAGTGACCGGAAGTTGATGCTCCTATGCTTTCACCTGCACACAATGAGCACGTGCACTTTACGCACTTTACAAAATACAAATTGAAGGACATTTTTGAAAATGACGTTAATGCAGAAATAGATTAATTCATTAAATACAGCAAGTTATATTTTGATAAAACAAACAAATAATTCATCAACCACTGGAGCAATGTTGAAGTATTTTATACCTCCGACACAGAAGTTGATGTGGGGAGAATGTCGAATCCTGTCAAATTCATGGTCATTACTGGTCAAGAAGAATACCAGATAAAATGTTTTATTGACGACAAGTGTTGGTTTTAGGAACGCGTGCAGTCTCTGTAGCTAATATATGACACTCTTGATGTGCGCGACATTGTTTTGACTGGTTATATACGACTGTTTTATAACTTTGTGGTCTTGTATTACATTTATAGAAAACATATTGAAACGCATCTTTAATTTCCTAGTATTTCTTTGTAGTTTGAAAACGATAATTGAGCCGCGTCACGACAAAACCAACATAATGGGTTTGCGACCAGCACGGATCCAGACCAGCCTGCGCATTCGCGCAGTCTGATCAGGATCCATGCTGTTCGCTATCAGTTTCTTTACTTGTTACAGGGTCTGTAAGCGAACAGCATGGATCCTGATCAGACTGCGCGGATGCGCAGGCTGGTCTGGATCCATGCTGGTCGCAAACCCATTATGTTGGTTTTGTCGTGACACGGCTCAATTTATCATGGACTTGCGTTTCATCAAAAGACACTTGATAGTGAACGGTCAAAGCATTACTTACCTCTCAAAATACTTAAATAAATTGTTGCTTTAAGAAAAAAAATGTTTGGCTTTTTATTTGTCTATTTGTTGTTTATGTTGATGTTGTTCTTTTCTGTATAACTTTACGGTGGACATTAACATATTCGACCAGTACCGACCAGTACCGATCAAGATCAATCAGTACATCCGTGCCGTCTGATCATGGTCTGCACTGTTTGTTATTTAGGCATTTAGACAGTACAAGATTTTTAGATTTTTTTAATTTTTCCTAAAAAATTGTAAATGGTTATGTCCAAAGTGGAAGAAAGACATGTCCATTTAAGATATTTAGCGTTGTTAAGGTTAACGTTCCAGGGTCAAATACGTGAAGACGCAATCAAATACTCTGACTCAATTGATTGTGACATGTATAACGTATGACAAATAAAAAATGCATGAATGTGTACTTTATAGCAGATATCTTGATTTTCCCGCCAAAAATCAAACGTTTACATTGCATCTACAAGTCATTTAAATACATACACAACGTTTTGGAATTACCAGTGATTTCTTTTTCTACATTTGAATGTTGTCAAAGTTAAAGTTGTAAAATCAGATAAACCATAATATTTAAATCCATTAAAATTAAACTTGAAAAAAATGTACTAAGATTTTAGAAAAATTAAAAAAAAGTAACATGTAATTTGCAAAATTTAAAACAATATATCTATTGCGTTACTTACGCAAAAGGCAGTTTTTGCATATTTTGACCTCATTTTGGTAATTTATGTGAATTATAAGTATGATTTTTTGTCTTTCTTCAGTTCTCAAGAAAATGAAACCAGTCCGATTGGGAGCATTTTGCAGGTGCGCGATGACGTAATATCCTACCATTAAATTTAAGTTATTTCACTTACTTGCATCTCCGGAGACAATCGTTGTCATACGTATTTCCGGCTATACTGCAAACCGGTCGGTATATTTCCGGACAATTACAAGCTGGAGGTACGTCTGCAACCTGTGGCTCCGGTAAAGGATCTACTGTAGGAGCCGGACGGGGCGGAGCTGGTAGTCCCGCCCTATTTGATGGTGGGGGTCCTCGTCTAAAACCTGGCGGTGGTGGTCCGTTTCTGAAACCCGGTGGCGGTGGTCCCTGTTGGAACTCCATTTGAGGTGGTCCTTGTCTACTAAATGAAGGCGGTCCTTGAATGTTTGAACTAGGAGGTCCTTGACCAAAATGTGATTGAGGTGGTCCTTGTCGGCTTGCTTGTGGTGGTCCTTGCATATTTGAAGGAGGTGGTCCTTGTCTGTTAATGTTATTTGGAGGCGGTCCTTGCCTATTATTATTACTTGGAGGAGGCGGTCCTTGCCAGTTATTTGGAGGCGGTCCTTGTCCGTAATTGTTATTTTGAGGTGGTCCTTGCATGTTTGTTTGGGGAGGAGCTTGTTTGTTGTTATTATTTTGAGGAGGTTCTGGTTTCTTTGCTGGTTTTGTTGTTGGTTTTGTGCAAGGACAGAACCCATCACATTCTTTCTTTGCACCCCTGAATTGAACCAATACATTGATATTAATTATCATTCAAAATATACAAATGAGATTGATTATATCAGAAACAGATATTCTCTTAAATATTGTAATACTTCAAAAATACCTTTTTACAAATGTGTAGATAACGAATGACTAAGCACTTTTAATATATTCTCAGTACCTTTGTAAAAACACATATATCAGAAGAACCATGAATACATCTTTTTGTATGATGTTAATCATGAAAACATACATTTATCATCCGAAATTACAATATAGTAGATTGAATTTCTATAAAATGAGGCTAATGTATGATATAATATCATGATTTTCTTGAGATTCGTACTGACAGTGTAGACGAACCTACTACATATATCAAGAATGAATGTTTTATTGATATAGCTTACTTGACGCTGGTATTGAGTCTAATGAATTTATCATTTACTTTGTCTGAACAATAAAAGTTCTTTTTTAATTTTACTTGTCAAAACATGTTTTAAATTTTGGTCAATTTGTTAAATTTTTATAAGTGATACAGGTATAATTATACTAGAATGTAGAACATATGTATTAAACTAATATTAAATAGTGTCAACGTTATTGTTTGTTTGTTTGATTGGAGAATCTCAAGTCCTTGTCGGGTTTAATACCCACAGCGATGAGGGGAAAGTGTTTTGAAGTCAACGACCTTAACCTTTCGGCCAAGGACGCCCCACAACGTTATTGAAAGAGTAAAGGCACATACGGGCATCTGTCAATTAAGATATAACAGTTACATACTTTAAAAAAATATGACATGGTAAAACAACAAATGAGACTACCACTAACAATATGAGGGCGATTAGGAAAATGAACTGACGTGCAAAATAGGGATCGTTTTAGAATAATAATTCCGTGAACAATAATGTCACGTGTCGTACATGTATCTACATGCATTTTTATTTACATGTACCGAAACCTATGTATACATGTGTATATTGAGCGTACGGGGAACGAGTACGAGGTTTATAAAAATCACGAGCTGTAAACGGTGTGAATATAGAAATCAGCATGAGACATTTGTCATTAATGACACAAAAACAAGTACCGACACGTCAAACGTTTGATTTGGACACGTAAAACATTTGTCCGACATCACTATTTCACTTAAGGTTTCAAAAATATCAAGTTAATGAAATAGTTAAATGGCTTAATTTGACGGAAGCATTTGGAGATGTACAAAACGGTTTTTTTCCTTTTTTTTCCGTTGCTCACTGATGGACATTATTCATTTTAAACATAATGGATTCGCTGTTAATTTGATATTTGCGACAAATCTAAACATTTAACGAGACTGCTATGTATTTTTGACAATTGTTTGATTGATAATGCTCGTGTTTTTGTAACTTTTATAATCGGAAAACGGACATTTAATTCAGTTTTTTTAACAAGGACAATTGTCATGTAACTCGCATTCTAAAGTTCAACCTGTCGGACCCGCAACTTTTATTATTTCCGGCTTTAATGTGAGAAATAACAAATCACAAATTATCTTTCCTTTGTGGTTATTAAACATGGTATAAGATCATAGACTATTTTGAATTTTTAATAATTTAGTGCTTAATTACAACGATTTATATGTAGAAAGAATATTTATACGTGTCAACCCGTTGACAGGTTTCCCAATTTGACAATCAACAAGTAATGGTGACACATTCATCAAATACTCATCTTAGTATTCAAAAAATAAAATATTGTAATAAATATATCATCTGAGACAAGAGGATATAAAATTTTAATAAATATTCCTACACTCCTAAATATAAACATACTAGAGACTTGAACAATTTTAGTACCCAATTCATTCATTTGAAAATTACTGGAATGTGCTATTTTTAGCAGTTCAAATGAAAGCTGCAAACTTACGTCGCGTTATAACATGCGTTCAGTTAAATTTTGAATGGAATGACATTTCAAAAGTCTCTCAAAATGTTTTTATTTGCAAACAATTTGCAGTTTATTACTTTGTGTTTGCTAAGTTGCAAAATTGTCCTTTTTGTTTGGTAGAAAAACATCGCAAAATGCAAGGCTAGCTAAAGGATAATTTTAACACGTAGTTAACCTGTGTTTTGTGATATAGTTTTGCATTGTTTTAGCTTGTTTACATTACTTTATATATGCATTCTTTATTTATGCATTCCAGTCAATTAAGACAAAAACATGTTTGCTACAAGTTTACATGTGGTTTGTTTTGACCGTCGTTAAACTGAAAATCATCGCGACCGGTCAACTCCTGTTTAGATTTGGCGCTTTTGTGTGCAGAAAATAGTGAAATAAGGGCAATTGTCAAAATAGGATAGAAACGTTTACATTCATGCGTTTATAGACAAGATTAGTCTAAAGGTCTGAACGCAACAAGAAAATTGTAATTCTCCTAGTTATGACCCTTTAATTTCTAAATAGAAATGTATATGAACATTAAAGTGAATCGGTCTTTAAAGGGAGTTTGTAATTAAAAAAAATATTACTTTTATACTAATAGTATTTAAAATGAAATATAAAAAACAAACAACGAAATATTTATATATGAATGATGAGATACGTGATCCGATATCACGTATAGCAGACAGATATAGAGGATATTTTTTTTTGTTGTAAGAAAATTTATTTCATATGTATGGCTTTAAAAAATATTTCTCAGAGTGATACCAAAGGAGACATTTTTTTGTTTTTAAAGTCTCATGGAAATGAAATAAAATTACTTTAATAATATACAAAAATTTGCTTTTTACTTTTTAATAGTTCTTAAAACACAAGTAAAAACGAAAATGAGAAAACCTCTTTAAATCCCGAATTTCTCATTAAAAAAGAATAAGGTCTTGAAGCATAAAAAATAATCAGGCCAATTTTATTGACAGAAATTGTCAGTAAAAAAGGAAATTTAGGTATTTTATGAAAGTTAAAAGATCCCAACAAAAAGTTAGTTCCCTTATTTTGGGAAAAGTTGCTTATATTTTCAATAATTTTATCGTGTCATATTATAAATATAATTTTCACGGATAAATGCAGACTGACAAAAAACCAACAAAATATTATTATTTAATAAAACAATTGTTTTATACCAGTTATTTAAATTTATCAAACTTTTTAAAAATATTAATAAAAGAAATATCAGAAAGTTTGGAAATTTATTTTGTTCGTCAAATAAAAATATTCTAAATTGTCCATTTAACAATTCACTTTAATATATAGCAGATTAAAGGCGCGAGTCATCTTTGTTTTTCTTTTAGTTGAATTTAATCAAAGTCTAAACTCTTTGACTTGAGATAAAAAAATAAAAAATGTTTATTGAAACGGTCTAAAGCTAGTCCTAAAATTAGTCGTACATCCTAGGACTTAGGATACACTTAGGACTTTCTATGAAAGTTAAAAGCAGTTCAAAACAAAATATTTCTGGTATCAGCGTTATTTAGCTGCCGACAACTTGCTTATATTATAAAGCAATTAACGGGTCAATCGAATTATTATCGTGTCATATTGTAATATATGGTTCTCTATATAGATTGACAGACTGACAAAAAACGGGCCACAACTCAATCAGCTATTACGCAAATTCAATAAATCAATGCCTAGTTTTTACGCAGTTATTTTTAACTATAAATTTTTAATACTTCTTATTGACATAAAATTTTAATGATGACTTAGTTTTGTGTCCTTTAATTTTGTACAGGTCAAAATGAAAACATTGTAATATATATATATATATATATATATATATATATATATATATATATATAATTATATATATATATATATATATATTATATATATATATATATATATATATATATTATATATATATATATATAGTATATATATATAATATATATATATAATTATTATCTACTGCGTTATATTTGCAGTTTACTTTGTTGTTGTTGTTGTTTTGCTGTTGTTTATTTTGTTTGTTGGTTTTTTTTTCGTTTGCTAGAATTCGAAAAATATGGCATGGCAGCATTTCATATATATTTTCCTTTTTTCGCCAATCACCTAACAAACCCAATCGTCGAGGAAAATATAAGAAACCGTATTACGTCACCGCTTGTTTGTTTTCACCAGCAAATGTTTAAATACATATATCTTCGTCATGAAAACTTTATAAATAAATCATTTCATACGTCTTAAGTAAAATTTCTCTTTCATTTATCAATGAAATAATATAAACCGTTTAAATAACAAAATTAATTAATTTTCCACTTTGAAAATAAACCATTTAAACCTCATGCAAGCTGTGTTTCAGACGAAATCTTTTGAAAAAGTTACAGCATAAATAAAAAGGTGACAACATTTATGTTTTAATTTATATGACAGGCAGTTTCCTTGATGGAGAGGGACACGAATAATGTGTGCTACTATTCATGAAAAATGAAACAATTTCATGTTTCGTTGATATTTTATGTAATGCAACTGTTGTTAAAGTTTGATATGACACATACGCTGTCAAGTTAAGAACTACAGGTTTATTATAAGTACAGGACGGGCGTGAGGTGACATAGGTGAAAAAATATCGTGCAGCACATGGCTCCTCAAAGTTACTGACTGTATATTAAAGTGATATTTTATTGTATTGATATATTTTAAACGTACATGTTACTTATAAGTAGTCTTTAGCTATTCAGTTCAACATAGAAACAAAACAAAAAAATTAAAGAAAGAAGAAAGAAGAAAGAAAAAAAGAAAGAAGAAAGAATGAAAGAAAGAAAGAAAAAAAGAAGAAAAAAAGAAAAAAGAAAGAATGAATGAATGAATGAATGAATGGTTGACAGAAAAAAGAAAGAAAGAAAAAAAGAAAGAAAGAAAGAAAAAAAGAAAGAAAGAAAGGATAAAAACCAATAGTGAAATGGATACTGACTACAATTACTTTATTTAATTAATAAAAGTAAAGATTAATTGTTTTTAACAAAACAATTACGCATATAGATATAAAAACGAAATGTGTTTCTTTCTCTGGTCTCTTTATGTTTAAATGTTTAGGATATATTTGTTGTTAAATGATTGATCCTCGCATCCGATAGTAATCTGATACGTATATTTCTATATCATCAAGTTAAAATGACATTTGTGAGAAATGCTACATGTTAGTTAAATTAATAATGAAGATAAATAACTACAATGTCATAGAGAAAATTAGAAAACAAAATAACGATTTAAACAGCCAGAAGGAGTGTATCTTTTAAGGACAATAGGAAATATGACATTTGTGAGAAATGCTACATGTTACTTAATTTAATTTTAAGATAGGCAATAACTATGACAAAGAACCTAAATGGAAAATAGAAAAAAAAAGAAAGATTTTAACAGATAGGAGTGTAGATAACTGTATCTGATGAGGAAAATGTGTCATATTGACAGAAAGAAATATTCAAATTCGGGTCTTCTTAATATTAGAGGAAAAAGACTAACAAGTTTGCACGCCCCTATCAATGTCTTACTGGACAGGATATTATTTTGATATTCAGATTCCCCTAAACCAACAATGTGCAGTCCCTAATTTTACACATGCATGAACGTAGGTTTTGCAGGGTCTTCGACGTTACGATGAAAAATAAGTAAAACGTAAATTGTCCCGAAAATGATATAAAAAGTTTAAAACTGGTGCAATTGATTATTGCTTATCAATAACTTTTGTTTTAATCACAATGTAAATGTTTAAATTATAGATATTAAAGGGTTAAATAGTAGAGAGTGTCCTTCAACCGTTCGAACTGTGTGTTCCAACACCGACATTGACATACAAACTGACCGCAAATAGAAACATAACGTGACGACGTGCTTTACTACTTGGTTTTTGATAGTCACTGACACATTTTATGTGAGTGAATTACAGAATTATGATCAAAATAGCTATATGTGAATTAAGCTTGTAATGATGTGACGATTTGTCAAAAATATGCATTGATTAACATCGTTTTCCTAGTTGTGTTATATAGAAGTTTGGAAAGAATTATGGTAGAGTTGTTTGGCAGATGTTAAAGGCCCATTATGCCTCAAAAATGAATAAATTTTCATTCTTGAGAAGAATCATACATGAGTTTAATAGCCCTTAATATGAACTGTTTAAGAGCATGTTAGATGTCAAATGAAAAATGAAAAAAAAAGCCCTGAATATGAAATTATTTGTCATAAAAGAAGCAAAATGTAAACAAAGTAGTATTGAAAATACTAATAAAAATAAAAGCATTTCTGGGCATAATGGGTCTTTAAAGAAAATTTAGTCCCTCATCATCATCATGTATAAATCACTCTTATAACTTTTAATTTTAAGTACATAATTCGAGCATATTTGAATTGCCAACAGAAACAAACACAGTATCCGAGAAACATGTCATAGGCAACTATTAAAGTTGTATTATATAAAAATCATATTCATATCGGTAATATTAGAAAAAGTTGTTACGGTTATAAATATGTAATTACATTGATTCAGCATCGCGAAAACATGACATTTTGTAGATGATCATTTATTTATTTATTCATTTTTTATTCATTTATTTTTTTAATTCATTTTTTTAATTTATTTATCTATTTTATATACTCTTTTTTGTTGCAATCGCTGCCAAATGGGGAAACACAGCGAGTTAAACTTAAAACAATGAAGTTCCGTGAAATATAAATATTAAAAATCTTTTGGAAGCCTAAATTGACTGAATTATCTTCCCTTACCTATACATCTCTCACCTGTTACTAACAAAATAAGGGAAATATTTGATAAGCTATTAACCTACATAAATTATCTTCGACTAACGCAGATAACTTGACAAAACACTTCCTAAATTATAGCCAAAATATATCAAATCTGGAAGCTTGCAGCTTAAACACTAGTGTAACATACTCTAAAATGCTGTGAAACTAAGTTAATTGAACTTAGTCTGGTATTTGCCCATTTAAGACAAATATCATATATGCTTTTCTAAATAATGTTGTTTATTCATGGTTTATTGAGATATTTTCCTGTGATCTCACTGAATTAGTATGATTCATATGTGTTACATGTAAATTAATACATTGACACATGCATCAGTTATTTACAGAAACTAAACATTTGCGTGTATTTAAGTAGGCCTATTTGTTTTGTGTGGTACTGGATTGACATTTTACACGCGCTAGCTATGTACCGAAAACGCTCACACAGAAACACTTGGTAATAACTTTATGACCTTTGTAGGGCATAAACAATTATATTTTTATCATGAGTGACGGGCAGTTTCATTGTGACTCGTGATCGATTATGTATATAAACTATTTTGTCAAAATACTTGTCAGTCATCAAACCAAATTCAATCCTATTTTAGCTTAACTTCCATTCTGAACCTTTGCTGATTCATACGAGTATTTCTCTTTATTCGAATAAAATATGTTGGTTATTTCTTAAAGTAGCGAATAAATTAGATATACAAGGTGCAAAAGACTTATTATGACTTAAAAAGAAATATTTGTTTACCGAAGACATCTGTTTATTTTAATGCAATTTTTCAAGGCCAAGGAGCATATCCTCGAAGCATGACATTGTACTAAAGCAAAGAAAAAACCTGGTTTGAAATATGTATTGTCATAACTTGTCCCATGGCAGTATTAGGAGAATGAAACTCTATCTAATAATTATTTCTTAATTATTCATTAAGGTATAAAAATGTTACTTACGACCATATGAAGCATTCGGACATGTACGTAAATCCGTCAGTACCGCAAACTGGTGACACAGAGCATGGCGTCTTTATCGGTCCCGATGATAATTCTAAGGATGGAGTAGGCTTAACACCACCTTGGTTCTGACCTTGACCTTGGTAATTATTATTGTAATTATTATTGTTGTTGTTGTTATTTTGGGATGGTTCCTGTGTGCCCGTATCGTGAGACTGCTGCGAACTAGAAGTCGAAGAGAAACCAGCATTATTAGACTGGGACTCAAACGCTTGCTGTCCGCCTTGATAACTCTGATCAGCGCCATTGTTGTTTCCGTGACTTTCTTGTCCGTAATTAGCGTTCTGAGAATTACTTTTCTGATAGTTATCATTGTTATTGTTATTATCATTGTAATTGTTATTGTTATTGTTAGAAGTAGTAGTTTGGTAGGCCTGGCGAGATTCCATGACGTTGTTAATTTGATTGCCCGACGACTGCTGTTGTGCAACGGAAGACACATCAACGTCATTTCCTGCTTGATTGCGTTGCATGGAATTTTGAGCGTTAAAAGAATTCATGCCTTGGTTACTAGTAAACTGCTGGTTTTGGTTAGACCCTTGGTCTTTATTAAAATTTGTATTATAGTTGTTGTTGTTATTTATGCTACTTCCGCTTCCGACTGAAGGTTTGCCACTGTTGAATGCAATATTGTTGTAGTGTTGCTGCATGTTGTTTCCACCTAAATCAGGGCCATTGTTGATAGGTTGATTGTTACTGATGGACCTGCCGGTATTCTTGTTATTGTTGTTATTGTATGAAGTCTGCTCAGGCCCAGGCTGATTAGCATAATTGTCGGAACCTCTTCCGTTTTGTTGATTTGTGTCGAAAGTTTGACCATAATTATTTTTGTTGTTAATATCATTTGCATTTAAAGGTTTAAAAGAATTTTGAGCGTTTCTTGGCTGGCTGCCAATATTATTATTACTTCCGCTTTGTTGGTTCATTTGCCTATAATTATTGTTTTGACCATTACCACTATTGTTCTCTGTAAATTGCTGATTTCTGTTAAACGCTTGATTCGCTTGGTTATCATTATTATTTGAACTAGCCATGATCATATTCTGTTGTGAAGAAGATGTACTAATTGCTTTGTTTTGAGAATACTCTTGTGCTTTAGTACGAGCGTTGTTATTATTATTATTATTTGATCCAACATTATTAAAATCTCTTCCATCGACATTTGTGTTTCCTGCATTGTTTTGCTTTGGTTCGGAAACGAAATTCCATGGTCTCGTTGCTGCTTTAGCGCTCATTTGTTGTTGACTATTACCATTTTGCTCCATTTGATTATTATTTGATTCAACATTTGATTTTGAGGTTGACTGTTGAGATTTTGGTTGAGCGAATGCTTGATTATTATTTTCACTTTGTAAATTTTGCCCGGATGTCATAAATTGGTTTGATTTCTCAGAAATACTCTGTGATGGTTCAATCACAGCGTTCCAGGGGCTAAATGTTTGTCTGGGACCAGTCTGTTGTACTGGGTTGACTCCCGCTCCATCCTTACCGCCATTATTATTTGAAGTACTCTTTAAGCCAGTCTGTCTTGAACTTTGCGCGCCATTTTGAGACATGAATTGCTGTGTATTGGTGTTTGTTAATCCAGTTTTTTCAAAATGTTCACGACTTCCTCTTCTTGATGTATCCTGGTTTGCTGCATTTCCAAATTGTCCATTATTATTTTGGATATTCGTTAAACCAATCTGTCTTGAACTTTGCGCGCTATTTATAGACATGGATTGTTGTTTATTGGTGTTTGTTAATCCAGTTGTTTTTGCAAAATGTTCACGACTGCCTCTTCTTGATGTTTCCTGGTTTGTATTTCTTGTTGTGGCTGCATTTCCAAATTGTTCATTATTATTTGGGACACTCGTTAAACCAATCTGTCTTGAACTTTGCGCGCCATTTTGAGACATGAATTGCTGTGTATTGGTATTTGTTAATCCAGTTTTTTCAAAATGTTCACGACTGCCTCTTCTTGATGTTTCCTGGTTTGTATTTCTTGTTGTGGCTGCATTTCCAAATTGTTCATTATTATTTGGGACACTCGTTAAACCAATCTGTCTTGAACTTTGCGCGCTATTTTGAGACATCAATTGTTGTGTATTGGTGTTTGTTAATCCAGTTGTTTTTCAAAATGTTCACGACTGCCTCTTCTTGTTGTTTCCTGGTTTGCATTTCTTGTTGTGGCTGCATTTCCAAATTGTTCATTATTATTTGGGACACTCGTTAAACCAATCTGTCTTGAACTTTGCGCGCTATTTTGAGACATCAATTGTTGTGCATTGGTGTTTGTTAATCCAGTTTTTTCAAAATGTTCACGACTGCCTGTTATTGCTGTTTCCTGGTTGGAATTTCTTTTTCTGGCTGCATTTTCAAATTGTCCATTATTATTTTGGACACTCGTTAAACCAATCTGTCTTGAACTTTGCGCGCTATTTTGAGACATGAATTGCTGTTTATTGGTGTTTGTAAATCCAGTTTCAAAATGTTCAAGACTGCCTCTTATTGTTGTTTCTTGGTTTGAATTTCTAGTGTTCTTTGGTGTATTTACAGCATCCAATCGATTTACTGGTTCTTTTATTGTGTTTCGTGTATTCATAGTGTTCCTGTCATTATTATTTGACTGTGCTATTGAACCCAGTGCGTGTTTGTTGTCGTTTATATTGGAATATTGGTTTATATCTCTTGAATTTGTATTTGAAGGTTTCTTTAAAGCGTTAAGAGCAATAGCATCTGTTACTTGTGGCTCTGCTTTTTGGCGCATAGCAACTGGCATGGCGTTTTGCTGATTATTATTTCTGGCTTTGTTTGTCATAGCCATAAGCTGTCTGAAAAGTGCAGCCGTATATTGCTTTGCTGCGGAAAGTCCTGAACTGGCACGTTGGTTTTGGTTGTTTGTGTCTGTTGATAAACCTGTGTTTGCAGATTCCTGAGCAGCTCTAGATACGGAACCTTGTTGATTATTTGAAAACAATTGTTCCTGTGTAGATACTGAAGATTTTGGCGGGTTAAATGGTTCAGGATATCTCTTTGTTTGACCTAGTGTCGAAGAACCGTCATTAGTGCTAGAGCTTGACATACTGCTTGTAAAAGATGTGCTTTGTGATCTTGATGTACTTCCAACTGAAGGTAAACCAATATCAGTTTGTCGGATTACATTAACTGCCCTATTGTTATTTCTATTGTTATTTCTATTATTATTTCTATTGTAATTTCTATTGTTATTATTAGTTGAAGTTTTTGGTGCTTGGAATGTATTGCTGCTGCCTACAAAAACTCGAGCTCTTGACTGCCAGTTACCATTAGAGTTATCAATTTTCCCTATCTTGCTCTGTGCACGTGATGATGTCTGGCTATTTTCCTTATTATTAGCACTTACTATGAGACCTTCAGCCGCTGCTAATTCACTCGCAGCAGTTGGCACACTGGATACAGTAGGCGCTTTGGTTTGCTTAAACGATTGTTGTGAAGTCATTTTACCAGGCTGGTTTCTGTTATTTTCAGGAACTGCAGGTACCAGCCCAACGCCTGCATTGTTTTTATTTCCATTATTTTCCGAATTACTTACTCCTGGCGCATTCACCAATGATGAAAATACATTGACTGTCATCTTCTTTGAAGACGACTGCGTTGATTTTGATCCTACATTTACATTATAATCGACAGGAGGTGGAGGTGGTGGAATGGATGGCTTCTTTGGCGGAGCAGGTTGGCGCCCAGATGCTATGTTTCCAAATGATTTCTGTTGGATTTGAAAATTCGACTGACCTTGATTTGAAATGTACTGTTGTGTTTGAGCCACTACTGGTTGTTTATATGCAACTGGAGCTTGTGGTTGTGTTGGAGGCTGTGTCGGAGGTTGTGTTGGTGGCCGTGTCGGGGGTTGTGTTGGTGGCCGTGTCGGGGGTTGTGTCGGGGGTTGTGTTGGAGGCTGTGTCGGGGGTTGTGTTGGTGGGTGTGTCGGGGGTTGTGTTGGAGCCGGTGTTGGAAGAGGCGTTGTAGGGGGGTTTGTAGGTGGCGGTTGTGTAGCAACTTGTTTTCGTGGTTTTGGTTTCAATGGTCGACTTCTTGGGGCGTTTCTTCCTCCTTTAGGACCCTCAGGTACCCCACCATCACGTGTTAAGACCGGTGGGTGTTTTGACGGATTGAAATACATATCTGGCATTGGGTTGTTCGAAACTGATTTACCCCATTGATAAGCATTTTCATTGTTCATAGATGGCGACGGCGGTGGTTTAGGGATAGGTTGCCGAGGCCTAGCATTGTCCTGAAAAGCGTTATTTGCAAAGTTTGTATTCCATCTTGGCCGAGAACCTTTTTTAGTTTTTGTGCGTGTATTTGTGCTTCCAGTGGCTGAATATGAAAATCTTGTTACTGGTGGAGCGCCACGTGGCCGAAAGCCTTTCTTTGTAGAAGCTTGTGGGAGTCCTACTGGTCTACCACCTTGTGATCTTGCAGGATTTATGTTTACTGAAATAATACATTTAAAAATATAAGCAAGTCTGTTTAGAAAAAGCCGGAAAAACATTTTATAGGCAACGTAAAGGATAGGTAAATTATTTTTTAATTAATGATTTTAGCAATCTACATGTATATATATATTTTCCTCTTTTATTTCTAGTTATTTAAACTGTTTACTGTGAATTCGAAAAGAAAATGAAATCCATTGCTAATGAAATTTATATCCATTGCGTTGAATCATAGTGAATATTGCAAAGTTCTGCTATATGTAGAATAAATCTGACCGAAAGCTATTTGTATATTTACTTGAACCATTCCGAATATTTGTTAAGGAGTTTATTGGTATAAACAGAAATCAGCTATTTGTAATATCATCTTAAAATACACGTTAGTGTAAAAATCGTAGTAGATATATTGATAATATTGGTGTTTATGAGTTAAATATAGACCAGACGATTCGAATGATGAACTTTTGTCAAATTAAGTATTGAACCTACAACCATTCTATATCCTCTATAAAGTAAATTCATGACGATGAATTTCACCAACCGAAGTTTAAACTACGGACCATGGTTACAAGACACTAATTTATTTTATTTAGACATTATATATTGTTATCAGTAACATGGATTAATTAGGCCCTAAAAGTCATACATTATATGCATAACATCACATCATGCGGGAAAATATTACAGTCTACGTTTGTCAAAACTTGTCATATTTTGGCGTTTCATTTTTCTATAGCATTTTGCACATATGTTTATCTTATATAGACCTTTAGTTGTTTACTTTACCTGTACCAAAAATAGTTTTAATTAGTACAAATATTTTTGCAAAGGTGATAATGATATCAGTATCGGTATTTTTTAAGATAGTTTCAAGTCACATGACAATATGATTGATATGGGTTATTTATAAAAGAGTATTAATAGTATTAGTATAAATAGGTTTAAAATCAAACTTTGACAGCAGTGTGTTTGGTATAATAGTACCATTAGATTAATTGTTAAGCCAGTATGATTCAGAAGTGGATCTGCAGGAAAGAAAAAAAAAGCCAAAAGATTTACAAAGACCGATATTGACTCACGTATAGGTATTAATTAAAGTGAATTATCGGTTCTTTAAATAAAACGCACCCGTCTTATGAGCGAGATATCATAATATTGGCTTCATGCACATATGTGTCTTTACATCTCAAATTATATAAGATTAAAATATTACGAGACACAATAATTGAAAGAATAAACAATTTGAATTGTACAAATTAAAGGGAATTATAGAATTTGCAGTTGACTACTTATATTTTACTATTTATAAGAATAAACAAAGAAATACAATGATCTCATACGGAAGCAAATGTCTACAGTTCATATCAAGGAAATCCTCGTTAAAGTCGTACATTTTGGTGAAGATAAGTGGCTATCCCTTTTAAATGAGTTTCTATATAAGACATTTATGACAAGTGTAGAGTAGTTTTAGTTTGGTATAACTGTTGGTTTGCTGCTATAAATGAATGAGAAAAAAATGAATATCAATTTGAATTGAATTGTACAATTCTTTATACTCAATTTCCATATGAGCATGTGACGAAAATTCAAAACATCCAAAATACGACAGACAAAGATTACGTCCTTTTCCACTGAGCTCAACATCTTGCATAAACTGTGCCCTACCACATGAATAAGCCTACTTTCGTGTTTTTGTATTTTCTGACCGAAGGTCAGTAAATACAAAGCTGGCATTCAATCTCTGACACAGAATTTCACGACAAACCTAACAACAAGTAGTTCTCAAAACAGCTTAAAACTAGCGATTTAAAAGAAAGAAATATTTTTATTTTGTTACAAGTATCCAACAAATTACAACGCATTCAAAGTTTAAAAGTAGCGTTGTCTTATAGAATTGTCAATAAATGCACAATCACAAATTACGCGGATGAATTTGATTTTAATCAATGAAAATGCTATTTTTAGCGATGTCGATTACCGAATACTACACAAATAAATCTGACTGCTGAGTAGTGGAATATATAGATTCTACATGTCGGACTGTTTCGTCGAGAAGATTTTTGCTAAATTATTTACTTCAATTTTAAACAACAGGTTTATCCTGAACAAAATACCTCGAAATGAGTAAGGATTACAAACCCGGAATGCAATGGAAGTTCTAAACTTAGAATAACTAGATTTTATTTAGGCAAGGTTTATATAACTTCTCCGTGGTGCAGGGGTAACGCGCTAGTCTAGTGTGAGAGGTCTGGAGTTCAAATCTCAGTCGAGGCAACTTTTTTTAAAAATTCGTTTTTAAGTGTCTTTGTTAAGGAAGTAGTCATAATATGCAAGGATAAAGTGTGGCTGTCATAAAAAATGAACATAAATGATTTTTGATGCAACTCTACTGTAGTTATGCAAAGTTCCGTATGTATCAAACTCTGGTGCCTTGCAAGATGAATTATTACATTATTTACATCTCATGATTGTACAGACATATTTAAATATTTAAAACCTTATTTATCTAAATGAAGATTTTAAAGTCATACTAGCGTATAATGACTATAAATTACTCGTGTCGGCAAGATGGATTCCTTAAAAAAAATGTCATCTTACATCCTTTGGTTATGCCTTAATTATGCATTGTCAAGGCCTAAAACTTCACGATGAATTTGACTTATAATCAGCTAAGTAAATATTATAGTGCATGTATGAATGAATTAAGTAATTAGATACTATCATATGAAAGGTAACATAAGTAATGGCTTAAAATATGCAGTTGAATACTAACATAAGTGAATATTAGTACGTGAATGAATGAAAATACGCATCGGTATACCAACATTTATAAGTGAGCATTAGCACGTGTATGAATGAATGAAAAAACGCAACAAGATACCAAATTAAGTGCACATTAGAATAAATGAAAATACGCAGCCAGATACCAACATATAAGTGACCATTTATACTAAAATAAATGAAAATGCACAGTCAGATACCAACAAATAAATGACCAATTTGTACTTAAATAAATGAAAATGCACAACCATATACCAACATATAAGTGACCATTTGTTCTAAAATAAATGAAAATGCTCAATTAAATTCATATGAGATAATTTAAATGAGTTTATTCAAATGCTTTAATGAAAACATCAACTATTACTATTATTTAACATAAATGTATTTAACAACTTCTTTGCTTTTTAGATTCAAAAATGATCACGCGGCTGATACAAATTTAATCATTGAATATGTAGGTATGTTTGAATATCAGGGCCTTGTTGAGTGTATTTCACTAGCCAATCAACAACAATAAGGTTTTTTGCATATGAAACATGCCATTTAAATATAAAATCACTTTAATTATTTCCATTTTTAACTCCGAATTAAGATTTATTAGAGAAATAACATTTACATATCCGATTCAATTTAATTCCACGGAACAATGAAAGTATGCACAAAATTCAGTTAATAAATACGGTGACACAGATATGGTAACACAAATACTGTGACAAAGAAACTGTGACACAGATACGATGGCACAGATACGATGACACAGATACGATGACACAGATACGGTGACACAGATACGGTGACACAGATACGATGGCACAGATACGATGGCACAGATACGATTACACAGATACGGTGACACAGATACGGTGGCTCAGATGCGATGGTACAGATACGATGGCACAGGTACAGTGGCACAGATACGATGGCTCAGATACGGTGACACAGATACGGTGGCTCAGATGCGATGGTACAGATACGATGGCACAGGTACAGTGGCACAGATACGATGGCAAATATACGGTGACACAGATACGATGGCACAGATATGTTGGTTCAGATGCGATTGTACAGATACGATGGAACAGATACGGTGACACAGATACGGTGGCATAGATACGGTGACAAAGATACGATGGCACAGATACGGTGGCACAGATACGATAGCACATATACGATGTCACAGATACAGTGGCACAGATACAATGGCACAGATACGGTGACATATATACGGTGACAAAGATACTGTTACACAGATACTGTGGCACATATACTATAATACAGATACGATAATACAAATACCGTGACACAGATACGGTAATACAGATACGATGGCACAGATACGGAGGCACATATACTATAAAACAGGTACGGTAATACCGATACCGTAACACAGATACGGTGACAAGTACGGTGGCACAGATACGGTGGCACAGATACTGTTATGCAGATACAGTTACACAGATACCGTAACACAGATACGGTAACACAGATACGATGACACAGACACGATAACACAGATACTGTAACACAGATACGGTGACAAAGATACGGCAACACAGATACGATGGCACATATACGGTGACACATATACTGTAACAAAGACACGGTAACACAGGTACGATGGCACAGATACGATGACACAGACACGGTGGCAAAAAATACACGGTTACACTGATACGGTGACACAGATACTGTGTCACAGAAACGGTGGCACAAGAGTGGCATGCACTTGTATTTTTATTTGCACTTCTTCCTTTTCGGTATTGTCCAAACAAGATTATTGCCAGAGGTAACGATATAGTACGTCGTAACAAGATACATTGTACATGTAGAAAGTCGTTGAAACGAGATAAGAAAAGTGCAAATCTAAAAAAAAATATTATTGCATTTTAAAAACATAGAAGCATAATTAAAAAGAATCGTGTTAAAAAAAGCAAAGTATAGGGCCTATGATTTATCTTTCGTATAAACGCTATTCATTACTCACAAAAACGAGTAAGCTATGTGGTTAAAACGATTTTATATCTCGTTCCACGACAAAACTATCTCGTTCCAGGACAAAACTATCTCGTTCCAAATCAATTTAAGTGTTCATAATACAAGTTTACCTCAAGCTATGTCGTGGGAATGAAAGAGATTCAAGTTATGACTTGTTTCCCACGACTCAGACAGTGTTAACTACCTCACTAGAGTAAGTATCCCGTGGGAACGCGAGTAAGAAAATAAATGTGCAATTTTGAAAAAAGAGCCACCATAAATAATTCATAATTTAGGTAAGATGTTAGACATGTTTACAGTCAATTATTCATTAAAAAACTATATCATGTATTGCAGAGAAGAAAACTTGTGTTAACAAAATGTAATTTAATCAGCATTTCTAACCTTTGATGACAAACATATACATATTGTCAGATTGTTAGGTTCTTTTTTCTTTCTTATATTATTTCATGAAGGGTAGGCCGAGTTTTTAATGTATTGAACAAATGAGTTTTAAATGGAATTCATTTTCAGTAGCATTCATATTACATTGTCGACATAATGTATTTTTTTCCCCATTAAACCTTACTTTTTTCTCCCAGATTCGATTTTGCAATTGTAATATCAGTTTTTTTAACCGTTTAGATTATATATAGCCTACATAATTATGCAGATCTGATTTGACGGTTTTACTTAATAGACAGATCACAAGCATCAAGACTCGTTTATTTCAGCTTATACAAGTAAACATATTTCAACTTTAACAGATTAATGATCACTAATAACATTCTTGCAACAGAAAAGTAACGTCATATCAAATGTTCAAATTCTATGAATTCTGTTACGGAATGCATGTCTCAAACATTGTTACACATATATACGAGTTGTATGACGTCATTGTAGTCTTACTCCATGAACGTTAAATACGCCGTATCTAAATTTTGAGAAAAATAAGCATCCCAGATTTTGTACTGCAGAACATATAATTCAATAAATTTGAACGCTTGTCATGAGAAACCAAGACATGCTCTACATTTTTTTATTCAGTCCGCCGCATAAAAAGAACTTTACAGTAATCATATATAAATTATCTTAATATACTATTTACCTTTGTCAAATACATTTAATATGCGTTTTTTTCCATTAATTACATTACAAACACATTACAAACGGGACCCGTGTCGTGAATAAATATCAAATATTGCCCTCTTTGTTTTCTTTTTTTTTATTCACATTAATCATAGTGTATTGATTAGGAAATACGGAAACGTTAAAGAGCCTCCAATAAAAGATAACAAGATGTGTGAGTCGACTAATTATTATTCGATTTAATACAAAGCAGTTTATTTCATTAACAAAGATCTAATAATAATAATAATAATAATAATAATAATAAAAACACACGTTTATTTCGCCGAATCTATTCTCGATATGCTGTCTAGTCGAAAGGGTATATTTTCGTCTTTTGTAAAACATTTGTCTTTTTGACTTTTCGCCTTCAAGCATTTTTGAGAAAAAAGACTAAGAAAGACAAAATAATGGCCTAGTCTTTGTAAATATAATGAACCGATTGATATTAAAATATGTTATCAAATCAAACAAAGATCAGTCGACTTAAACCTCATAATACCGCACTAAATGGAGGTTCTTAAACGTTTCTGAAGAAAAATTAAATAATTATGATAAAAATAGGTACAAGAGATTGGCTTGGTTTTTTCCTTTTTGTTTCACATCTTACTTGATGCAATGTCCCCTTAGGCGTATTATGTAACATTACTTAAAAATAAAATGAAAACTAATTTTCTGACACCGACAATGATTGATTAAAGTTTTGTTATTTTGTAAATATCTTAAAACCATAATTCAACAGTTTTGATATTTCAATGCTTAATATCAAAATATTTTTCTTAACCATTTGAATTTCCGTGTTTTTTAATACGTATACTGACAAATTATATAAATTATACAAATTGTTATTATTTTTTATGCATTCTATGTTATTTCATTTTTTCCGACATAAAAAGAGTTTAAAAAAGTAAATTTGTTTCCTTATGTAATCTTTATATTCTCTGCACGATATAGAATATTTCAACCATTTTACAGATTAACAGAAACATTGTTTTTGTTAAAATCTTTAAAAAAAGTTTCACTTTTGACTTAAAAAGCGAGAAAAAAAATCATAAATACTTTAATATACATTTAATATCATTGAATCAATAAATTTTCAATCACATATCCGCTAATGAATTAAAATATAAGACAGATTAGCGAAAAAGACCTTTTCCATCACAAGCATCGAAATCAAAATCTTTTTGACAGATATATAAATAATATTTGATACACGCAATTCTTTCCTCTCACTTAAATCACAAAGAATTAAATATTTTAAAAGTAAGTCCAACCTGCAACTACAACAAGCACGAAAAGAATATAAATCCCTTTCATTCTGTTTGAATTTGCAAGAATCCTAGTCACACTTTAATCTCATATATATATATTTAATACACTATATCACTAATAACGATGTATAGCATCCACCTTTCACAATGACGGCCACAATTATCAAGCATATATTGTTTCTCTCCCTTATTTTTTTGTTTTGTTTTTTGACGTCGTGAACGTTAGGCTATTTGTAATACGCTCCGTTGATTTTACGTGTTAGGAAGTACGGAGCGTGCGCTTCTTGAGACAACGCCAAACATTATGTCGTTATATTCTCGTGTTGTTTTTTATGCAGGTTCTTCGTCCGTTTTTATGAAATTAAACGTCTGAAAATTATATTTAGACTTTAAAATAAGTATACGTCTTTTCCCACACATGCTTTTTAATTGTTACACGTTGTTGCCTAGTTTGTAGGTATCTATTCTTGGTAGTGTGTCATGCAAGCTCTTTTGAGTCCGTTTACCGGAATTAATCAAGAACTAATGTCATGTAAGGAAATGTGATGTGACCCGCGAGGAGGGCTCATGTCAACAAATTCTTGGCTAAAAGACAGACTCGTTAATTACCATATCATCTCTCCCTGTACACCGGGCTAAATATTATTCCTAACATTGCAAAGAGATCTTTAACGTTGAATCATTCTTACATCTTGATACGTTATAAAAAATGTGTTTTGTATATATATGTACCTAATACTTATACGGAAATATTCGCAGTCTATAAATACCATTATTCCTTACATACAACAAGAAAGAAAGAAAGAAAGAAAGAAAGAAAGAAAGAAAGAAAGAAAAGAAAGAAACAAACTATAAAAGTTTAAAGATCCTGTAACACAATATTTTATGGTTTTAAATCGTAAATATTATGCTCAAATTAAGATTTATCAATATTGTAGGCTCCAAAAAGTATTTATAAAGATATTACCTAATTTAAAATAAAAAAATATTTTCTATAAAATTTAAGTCAAATTTTACAATAAGAAATGAATGCACAGTATAAATTATGAACCGGTGGTTGAGAGTGGAACTTTAAGGATATTTTATGCTCATCTTTTAGTAAGATATTTTAATCACAGAGTTTTTTTTTTAGAAATCTTTGAAAGCTTTCTTGTTATATGTAATATGTCTTATTAAACAAAACAAAAAATGAATAAATGTGTATAGGAAGCTGTGTTCCTTATTACAGGTCAAATAAAGTGGGTATTTAAATATTAAAAAAAACAAAAAACTTTTTTCTGTTTTTAATGACACGTTATTTTCATATTGTGACCATCTATATAGTGTGTAAGATTTTAAACATAACGTATTTACTTTATGTGATGTCGAAACTTGTTAATTTTATATTTACAAAGAGACTGTGTAGCAATTATCAGTATTTTTCTGACATCATTTGAGCATAGTATATCTTTAAGTGTAACAAGATTTCAGAAGTTCAATTTAATGTTAATTCAGGTAAATATGGTTTGAAAAGAAAAGCTTAAGAAATACAATATATGGTCAATACTATTTTTAACAAGGGCAGTCGTTAGATATACAAGGAAAGACCGTTATTTATGACTATTGGACCTAGCATAAAATATTTATTTACGTGACATCTTCATATCATATTTCGTAACAGTAGTATTAGTCAATCGTAGCTGTTGTCGGATAGTCGAGTACGAGGGATGTTTTTATGAGATTTTTATGGTCATTAATAGCGGTATATCAATAAGAGCAAATGAATGGTTTACCAATGTGAAACAATAGAAACAATGCGTTCTCGAATGAGGAAAGGTATGTGACAATGACATCTGTGTTTTAATGGAAACCAGACACACCAAATTGGGCAATATATTTTCTTTCATTTTACACGCCCATTGCGAAGAGGAGTTTTCACTGTTGGTAGTTTTCACTCCGGTGCACGGTAGAAAGCCACATTGAATTTACCAGTTCACAATTCAGCCACCGCATCGTTCCTGTGCAGGCTGTCAAACAGTTTACCAGTATAATTGCCTTCATTTTCGCAAGGAACTGAAGCTTCTGTACATGCCAGAGCAATGGTACAGTGCAAATGATCGTAGAAAAGATTTCATGATCAATCACAACGAAAGTGACCTGCGCCCTCCGGGAATCGAACTCGGGTCGCCCGATTCACAGTCTGAGTCCAACGTTCTACCTATTGAGCTACCCGAACGGCTTTACGTCATTGCGAAATCATTTAAGTGGCATGGAATACACTTAGTCTTTTCTTTTAATACATAGTTTAAACATAAAACGAAAAAACAATTCGTTTAAAAGAAATAACTATTTCGTTTACTTGTTAAAAGAGATTCAATTTCATTGAAGACTTTATTTTCGTTTAAACTAACTTGCTATTTTATAAGAAAGAATTTTTATGTCGTTAAAAAACACGTGATATCGAACATGTGCATTTTATTACTTTAGGGGCTCCGTATAATTATGATAGATAACGTGTCAATTATTATTCCGAATTTGACCGAAAAATACCGAAAGGGGACTCCACTTAGGTTATGTGACATGACCGGAAGATTTTTTTTTTGATATTTCTTTGTATTATTTGTGAAGTTTCATACAAATAACTTGTGTTTAAATGTTATAAGATCATTCGCTTTTTAGTGATCAAATGATATATCTAAGATTTACACATTGTATATTTTGTAAGATCGTTGACCTCAGTAAAGTGTCTTAACTCTATCGTAGATTAATTTTTCTCGCCAAATGATGAGAAATTTGCGAATTTTAGGCATTTTAAGTTGGTCTCATCTAACTATTTTTACTCCTTATTTCTACTTAAATTAGAACATTATCTTTTCACGTCCGTGTATTTTAAGCAATTTCAGTCTTTAAATTAATATTGTAAATGCCGTGGATTATTTCATTTTTTAAAACCCTTAAATTGCATTAAATAGCATAATTTCTTATGTGTGTTGTTTAAAAAAGCTGCATAGAGAGTGGTAATAATATATTGTTCCAGAAAGACATTTTCTAACATAGAGGGAAACGAAAGTTATACGAGTAAATTATAAAATATGAAAATGATAATCATTTTATGTCACATTTATACTCATTTGAGGCGTTTGAACATTTATCAGCATTAAACTAATAAAACCATTTGTCATAATTATCAATAACGCCATTTTAACATCATCATTAATATAAAAGTTTAACCTCTCCGTACACTTAACATTGAAAAGATCGCCGTATGGAAATTCATTCTGTACAATAAAACAGTATATTGCAGTTGTTCATAACTTTTTTTTTATTTCATTCTAATTTATTCCGTGTCAAGTTTTACTGTTCCAGCTGTCACTATTTAAACATAAAGATAAAAGATGCGCATTTTAAACTATTTCGAGATCTTAAGCAGACATTTAAACATACGAAAACACGACAGAACGTTGGCAGTTTTTTGACATTGTTAGAAGAACCCTCGGAAGTTTTAGTATAGTGTATATTAAATAAAAATGCATCGTTCGCATAAATAGAAAACTTTTTGTGTTTGATTTGTAATAAAAAATGAGTTAATCAGGAAATTTTTAATTTCTTAGCCAGGGTAAGGTGGCCGGTAGCGTCCATTATAAAGCCGCGAAAAATTTTACCTTTAGTTTATAAAATCCCGCGGGCATCTTTCAAATCCACGAGATATGTAGACATTGTATAATATGTCGCGACTTATAGAAACTCTCGAGTTTTTCTGTCACACTTCAGCCGTAAAAAGTCGGGTTTAACGAAGGAAACCGCAACATTTTCTGTCTACATAATAGACTAAGCCACCTAAACATATCTCTTCTTTCAGTAGTATAATCCGCGATATTTTGTTTTGATACATACCTCGTAAATAATCGAGCAAAACACTTGCAAAAAATGTCGCTGATTAATTTCTGTTCATCGAATTTTTAAAGACAAACGAGTAATAAAATAACCATGGACGCTACCAGCCTCTGGAGTCAAAATGTTCCTTGCTGTTTCCAAAAACTGTTATAAATTATTGAGCTTATACATTCCAAGGGACATTTTGTACTATTTCGGCAGAAACTATCGCTGGTTTGCAAGTTGTCTGCGACATTTTATAAAAAAGCGATATTTTTTTTAGGGTTTGAAATGGCCGCAACCAACCACATTACTAGGGCGATTTTCTTATCTGCTGTAATAGACATAACTATTCTTTATCTTAAAAACAAAAATGTAATCTAAAAAAGTATAAACTGATTTAAATCATCGAGATAAAACGGGTAGATGACTTTATATGACATTTGCATATTTTATTGCAGATTTTAACAATTATAAAATTGGACAGAATTTGAAAATCGATAGCAAATTCATTACAAGTAAAGAAAAATCAACGAATAAATTAAAGTACTGTTCTGGTGTATTTGTTCGATCACGTGACAATGCCACGTTCATGTTTACACCACTAGCGAAGAAAAGTCAGATGCAGTCCCTTCTTTAATATTCTACTGTCAAAGACATGCTATGAAGTGGCATCATTAACATGCTTACACTTTAAGATGAAAAAACAACAACAACAACAACAACAACAAAAAAACATCATTTAAAGCCCATTTAACTTTAACACATTTACCAGATCCGCTGGTATTTTTATTTATAAACAGTTGTCTCTCAATAAGTCGAAATCGCCTTACTCAAAATTCCGTGTTAGTCGAACAATTTTTATAGTCCCGTCAAATTTCCTTCTTTATCTCTGTACTTTAACTCCGCTTAGATCAAATTTTGACTTACTGAGACTCCTGTTCAGTCGAAAGCACTTTTTGGTTCCATCAATCAAAGTCAAACATATTATTCATACAGTTGTGGAAGCTTCTATTATGGTCGTCTACTCTTAAAACAGTTTCACATGTACTGTTTACTTTTGAATAAACAAACAGATATGTAGTGAAAACAGTTAACAGAGCCGACGAAGTAGTGGAATTATACACTGTTTAACTGCAAACATAGATGTTTTAATAAGTTTCGGATCCCGGACATTCCAATAAGCCTTTTTAATAAGACTTCTTAACCGATTTCCTGTGTAATGGTGTCTTACACTTTGTCTGTCAAAGTACTGGGAATAGTTTAATCAAATGTAGGACACCTAACAATTTTAATGGAAAGATAGGTACTTGATTATATCCGGTGTAGGGTCCCATTCCGTGGTTAAGTGTCAGAAAAAGACGTTAAGGTCTGTGACATATTATTTGCGCGTTGCTTTCAAGTTTTTG